CTTATTTTTTTCTCTTAATCACTTCCTCTACACTGCTAAGATGGGCTCATCGATAGTTTGTATTACATGGATTTGCGAATCCGGAACTGAATCCGCAGAATACCATGCATCAGTACGGTCTATAGATAGTCTCTTCTACTCGGCACGCTTCTTCTTTCTCCTAGTACCAATGCCTACATCCATATGCTCATCTGTTTCCTGATGAGGTCCACCTTTATTGTCCCATTTAAGTCTAGAGCTAGGCTCGTGATAACGCTCTCAATTTCGATGGAAGCAGAGTTTTGATCATTCTCTGCTGCCTGTTTATCAGAGGGCCATTTCCTAGCTAAGTTTAGCTGCTCGATCGCCTCTAGAATCAGCAGGGACTTAATGGAACCACATGCTTAACACAACAAACGTGGTAATGGCTTGTAGCACCGTTTATATGTAGCCGGTGTGAGTCCGGTGCACACATTCTGACACCACTTATTGCAGCTATCACATTGCATGCCCTCATTGACCAGGAAATAGCATGCTGGTCTACCACAACGACGTTTCAATTGCGTCATAGATTTGTTTTATGTTTCTATATAAATAAAATGAAGAAACAATAAAAAAATCCCACTTCAGTAGCTACAGAAAGATTTTAACAACTATGGATACAGACAATACTCAAAGATATATTCGACGACTAAGACTAATCGCCAGTGCCTTTAGTTTTATGCATCTGTACTCGTTAAGTACAGATAATAAACTTCTCTAGAGAAAAAGCTGTACTCTTGAGGATTACTTTAACTGAGATAATTCAATTAAAGCAAAAACAGTAGTCTTGATGCGTAATTTAACGATCAATACTATGAAAATTTACTCAGAGGAAAAATACCACTCTCCCTTTTGAATCACAACAGACGATAAGCTGCAGTTGCTAAGTCTTGAGAAACAACTCATCATTCAACCTTAAATATTTATTATGAAAGCATTACATGGTGCTACAAACTGAATAAAGTCTAATACAATATAAAGTATGCCTGACAAGAAGTACCAATTAAAAGAACATGAAGTATATTTTACACAACAATTTCATGGATCGGCTGATTAGTGAACATCAAGAAAATGTGAAAATTACCATGAAATATGTCGACTATATACATTACGGTTTTTAGAGTGAATAAACAGACAATCCTTAACAGATCTCAATCGTTTTGTTATCCAGAAACATTTGGGTACACTGTGTTTGATGTCTGTGAAACCTGTAGAAGTAAATAAATTCAATAAATAAATGATTTTGTTAGTCTTTCACATTGATACTGATCTCATTAGTTTTACTGGATATACCTAGCTGGAGGGGCTCAGTCACGCAACCGCCCCACATCATATGGGGATACGTTGTGCTACTCATCTCTTACAACCGCTAGCCAGCTTAGACTAAACGCTTCTCGACATATTGATAGTCTTTTAAACATATCTTTGAACCATTTCATTTCTGACTCCTGATTTGACTGGGTTGGCATACTTCGATTACAAAGGTATCACGTACAGTAATTTGAGAGGGTTATGCTCACAAAGTCTATGTGTGATAAGCACCTAAATATAACAAGTTTCCGCAAAAATTTCCTCACTAAAAAACCCAATGATGTTAGCAGACCTGATACTCAAAACCGCCCGGGATACAGTACACTGCCGTTTAACGCTACAAAGTAAGAGGTACTCGTAGTTCATGCTTTATTAGTTTGTGGATTCTCCTGAACAAAATGATTAGATTTTCATGTCATGTATCTTCTCGACTGATTTGCTAGATACATGTACAATCTATGATACCTTTAAATAATGATCAAGACTCGGATAATATAGACCTCGCTGACATGAGATAATGATGGAATGTTTGTAAAGAGACTCTTCTCTAGTGCTGATTTTGAGATACGACCCATTGTTGGTCATCCATCAAGTAATTCTAGGATTACCGAATGAGACGAAAGGTGTATACCTAATTTTTGCAGACAACTGATTACACTTAGTGTGATACGCATTCAAAAGATCAGTTGGGACGGGATGAAATATCAACCTTGTCTAGTGAATGATACAGAAAGATGAAACAGGTTTTTATTTAGTCAGATGAAATGAAACCTTCTCATCTCACTAAATCTTCTCGACAAGGATTCCTTGATGACACGCATCAACCGCAATTAGGCTGCCATTCAGCTAGTTAAGTAATTACTATCTGACTACTCCCATCCTGAAATAAAGTTTCTTCTACAGACTGCTGACCCAGAATCCCACCGCTATTTAAGTGTAGAGAAGTACGGATCTCTCATGATAAAGGAACTTTTGACGTACTTTACGTCAAAAAAGTCCGTTGATTCATTCGGATTACGACCACCAGTCTCATAAAAATTTAATGAACACACACTTCATCTTCTGTTGATTTATTCGAACATCCTTTAGTCAATGACGAACCTCATTCTGATTGGAAAGTTGGTTTGTTCATACTTTAAGAAGGCAACAAGATAAAAGCTTCTATGCTATCCACAGTAGCGTAAATCATACGAATGACTCTCTCCTCAGCTACGTTCATAGCGGACAGCCTCACAGGGACACAACTATCAAATGCTTTCTCGGTGTTCTCTCCAGGGTTCATCATCTCATTATGCATCCGAAACTGAGGTAAAGGGGCACAACTCAAAGTCTTATAATGCGACTATCAAACTATCAAAGCTAGATGTCAAAAAAAGATATCCTTTTCTACTCTGTCAAATGAGTTCTCCATGGTGAGTGGAATGCCCCAAGTGTTATGGATATTGGAGGTTTGATAACGCTCTTGTCTGTAACGCACTTGCATTCGAAACTTACCAAACCCAATCAAACCAGAGGTCGGGGACAAAGGATTCCGAAGATATATTTGTAAGGTACTCGGTATGTTGGGAAGTACTTGGTTTGGGCTGGGTAAATGTCGAGAAGGATGTGTAGTACATCACGCCCAATGGTGAACTGATGCTCATGAGTAACCGAACGCCTTCAGCTAAGGTGTGTTTAAGAAAACTAATAGGGTCAGCATCAATATCTAAGATTTACAAAACTATTTTTTCCGGAAACTTGTCAATCTATACATGTAAGTGATTGCCAAATTACACTCATACTTGCTTAAGTATGCAAGACTTGATGAAAAAAGCCGTTCATGAGCATATATATGAATAAATATCATGAGGCGGCGAGAACTATCATGCACAAAAGATTTTTGTAGGGTGATTTTGTGAGAGAAATGCACACATACTCATGCATACTGAAAAATTGGTATGATTTTAAATGAATTATACGAATAAACATATTTTATTTATTGTGTTTTTCACAAAGTAAAAAAAACTGAGAATTCAACCTAATGGCTATAGAATACAAAAGCTTATAAAATACTCTGCGCAATCCTTTAGTCGTTCCGGAAACTTTGCAGTTCTTCCAGAGCATGCGATTTCAGGCCAGCTGTCGGATGATAGAGACGTTTCATCGATTTATTTGGTTGTTTGGTTGGTTTCATCTTAGCCATAAGGACCATGTGGTTCGACTATTTAGTGAGAAAGTAAATCGCTTTTAGACGGTAGATGCTGATGGTATCTTTCAATCCAGGTCTTACCAATGGTATCTGACTTGGAATCACAGTTAATTGCTTCATAGGGTCCCACATGTACGGCGTCGACGGATCGCTGTGGTGAATTGTGACGTACAAAAACATGTTTACTAAGTCGTATGATGAGTTGGACAAAAACATCGGTTTATTGCAATCTATTGGAAATGGGTTTAAATGAACGCATCGCATTTGTGTTAAAGATCGCTTTTAAAGATGGAGACTATTACCTCCCCCACTTTCCACTACATGACGATCCGGCCTCGCGAATCGGAAGCCTGTCCTTGCTATGCAGAAGCTGGCCCCCGCGATCACGACACAACAGTCACATGTGCAGGCTGTTTGTGTCTCATTCCAATACGACGCCGTAGATAAACTGGCTGCATCTGCCGATTGGATACTAGCGATCACAACGCATAATGACGTTACATATCTACCTAAAACTACCACTCGTTTCCCCAACATTTATCATAGTCGCAGAACCTCCGAGAGTCCCTAAAGAAACCCGCCACGTAAAGGATTTGTTTCGAGACCACAAGAAACAGACATGATGTTAGTATCACAGTAACTATTTTAAATCTCCTATAAATCGCCAGAAATCCCGAAGTTTCCTCCAGCCCGAACCATACAGCACGACAAACTTCTCAGAAAACCTGCTCACCGGCACGCATTTACGCGACCGTGGCCGGTCGACATAGACGTTTGTTGTACATCGATTTGATGACGGAAGTCCTCTATCTTTTCAACATTGACGTGGAACTGCGAATAATAACTATCAGCTGCAAGGTAGGCCTCCAACTCATAGTCGGCAAACGGAAAACGGATCTCCAAGCACACTAAAAAATATATTTTTCTTAACTTCAGTTTACGGAAACCCAACGACTGGATTTTTATTGTTGCAGAGGTGAGGCCATAATTTATGGTCGGCGCCAAATAAACCTTCAGAATAGTAGCCTGTCTACCAAGGTCAGAAGACACCTATAAATTGAAGTTGGTATTAGTATTAGGACTTAGAGTTAGACGTTAGGGTTAGGACTAGGAGCTAGTTTGTTCACCACGAACTGACATCAGCAATAATGTAAAAATACTATTTAACCACATGACTAAATGAATTTCGCACCAAAATCCAAGACTCGCTACTTACTGTCCTCAAGCCCTGCTATGTATGAGCAGTCTTCAGGTTTGGAGGTAAATATTAGACGCAGATTATTAGTTGACTGTTCCAGATGATATAACTAGACTAAGAGAATCCCTTTCAACTCAATATCAGTAAATTTAGACTGTTAATTGTAAGCAGAAGCTATGCTTTATTATTTCGCGCATTCAGTGTCCTAATTCTACTCTTAAATTTCAGGTTCGGACAAGTTTTTCTCAAAACTATTGATCATTGTAAATAACCTCAGGTATCAGTGGGGTGTTTAAGTTCTCGTGAGCGTAAGGGTTTTTTGTGAGGCATACTAACACGAAAGGGGAAAGAGTTCAAGTTAGAAAATATTTCCTTTGCCTCGTGATTAGGTCGTTACATATCAAACCTGTAATAAGCATCATGTTGTAGTGGATCTCCCGCCTAAAAGCTGTCGTATGTCGTTGTGTGTTACAGCTGCTCGATTGTTGAAACTAGTGATGAACTGATTGTCTGCTTTACTTGATTGTAATTGTTAAGACCTAATACACAAAACGTTTTCTAACCGAAAATTCCTCTTATAGGGTCGTATGCCTCAAAGAGAAACTGTTGCAGTGACCTCCTCAATCTCCCAAATTTTGGGGAAATGCCCAAAGTCGAATGCCCTTCACCAAGGTTCAAGGGGAATATTGGTGTTTTGGTGCTATTTCTTCAAAATTTTCTATAGTAGCTTCCCTAAAATGGGTCAGATTTTTCCCAAAATCGGAAGATTGGGTTGGCTTTATTTGGACTGACAAATGGTCATTTCAAAATCCTAAAACCTTAGCAAAACAGGTGGAAACAAACCAAAAGAAACCAAACGATCCATATAAGCTTAGAACAACTCATAGGGTGTCAGATCATGTTCGTGCTATTTGCCTTCTCAAGATTCTAACTGTTTGGATATCTGTTTCCATTGATCAAGTACTCGGTAACCATCAGCAAATTATAAAACAGTTGTTTCCCCATCCATTTATATGTTAAGGACCGGAGACTACATAGGTATCGATTTTTTGTTTAGTGATAACAAAAGACTAAACGGCTTGTGTTAGTTTTGCTCAGATGGTCGGTCATCATTCTTATCTGACAATTATACGCTCCTCCGAGGTCCCTCAGTTTAAATCAAAACAGCAAAAAAACCAGCTAGATCAAAAGCAAAAGAAACGGGAGTTAGGTTTTATTATTAGCCTTGTTAAGTCATAGTATGCGCATACAGCGTTGAAACCACTTAGAAGGTGAATCACATAATCTTGTCATATAATCAGATCTCTTTGAATACAACAATATCTGCATTTCCTTAATATTACACGGGTCTTTTATTTCGTGATGCCTTTTTAATGAAGAAATCAAACGATGTTACTGTTATTGTGTGCTTGGATATATCACTTATAACTCAGTATTACTCCATAAACTATTTTAGATTTAATGCACTGACTATTAACATGTCCCAGATATCAGTTCGTGTACAAACCTATCTGGTTTTGGGTGTTATAATAGCATGCTTCTCAATACTGTATCCCAAAATCTTCCATCCGATGCTTCTTCATCTACTGGGTTTTACAAAAAATAGGCACACAGAAGGTAGGTAATGTACCACTTTAGCCAAATTACTGTATGTATAGAGCATACCAGGTTTGAAAACCTCCGGTTAAATGTACGTTCTTGTGACTTTATCGAGCGCTTTACAGGGTCATCATGCACAAAAACCTATCAGAGCTTCAGAAGGGATTGTTCAACAGGATCAAGGGAAAAGAGGTGGAATTATGTCGATCGTTTTGCCTGTCTATGCTGTTGGTATAGTGTTATATTTGTTTTACACACTTTCAAAGGTGAGATTTTGTATATTTTCTCATAATCTTCAGTTTTATATTTCGTTATTAACCGTAGTCTCAGATGCCAAAATAGGATTGCGACAGTATCAAATTATATTTTGTTTACTAGTTTGTTCGAATTCTGCCCCACTTACGCAGATTCCGTATTGACTATTTTCCATACTGTAGATACCACTCTGATGTAGCTGTTGTCTATTGTAACAACCCAGTTGAGATATACTACCTGGAACAACTGTTTTTCGAGGTCCTATGATCTCAGATAGGCTAGTTGGTAATCGTTTATTACGAAAATTTCATATCAAAATGAAGTTTTACTGCCAGTCGTGTCGGAATTTAACTGCAGTAAGTTATTCTACACGGTCGAACACCACCTACCCTACTTCACAGACGAGATAAGGGAATAGAATATGTCAAACCTAAAAACAACGCACACCTACCATGAGAATGTCTAAGGTGATCTGTAAGACTTAAAATGTGCAAACTGAGCATAGCTAAAACGAAAAAAAGCACCCACAAAATTTTCATGTAACCTGCTTCAATCAAATCTCTTATTAGCCACAGGCTTGTATATTGCTAATGTACTTTGTGTTAAGTTGTTTAGGAAACAAATAACTTATCATAGCGTGTGTAACCAAATAATACTAATCAACTATACATTTAGCAAAACTGGAGTCCATCTTGCTTATCGTCAGTCTTCCTCCTTCCTCAGTTTTATCATCTTTATTATCACTTCTTCTACATAAGCTCGCCTCAACGTCCGGTTTATATGTACCAAATACCGGAATATTGGGTCCGCAATATCTTCCTGGCTACTTAAATTTGCGTTCAAATTACATGTTGAAGCCGTCAGTATTCGACCCTACTTATAATTAGTCGGTGGGGATCATTTATCAAAATATTGAATCCCGTGTCATGGTTATGTCGTTTTTGTGATATATTTAGAATCTAGATGTTACTTTTATTTTCCTCAATATTGATACAGGGAGCTCCAACCAGTATGAAAACTGAAATCAATATCATTGCTGACTGATAAAATGTTTATGTAACAATAATAAGTTTTATTAGACAACGAGGATGAGGAAGCTAGCGTTGGTTGACAATGGTAGACAATCGCTCCAACTTATCACAGACAATGAGCCTAAGCGGTTGGCATCAAGTGCTACTTTCGTGGCGAAATGTGAATAGGTTATCCACTTGGAAACCTAAAGATCGTAACTTCAAGCTTAAAACTTCAGAGGGCAGTTAGTCTAATATCCAAAAACTCTCTGGTTGCTCACTGTCTACCAAGAGCTTAAACATATCGATAACATCAAGTACTCAACTCGTAAAAACATCAGAAAGACCTTGGCTAACTTGAGCTACATGTGTTCTCCAAATCTCTACGCATGATAGTTCACAATAATCAGTAAATCTGTTTCGATTTTGTTGCTCTTATAGTTTGTATCTGGTGCTACTTTGATTATTAGTGATTCGTAATTTGTTTTGTTTCGGAAACAAGTAACGTTCTTGAGCAGTTTTCGATCGAAACGACTAAGTAGACAAACACATTCTAATTCGTGGACTAAAAAGATAACTTGTTTGTGCATACTCAAATAAATGATGCGGGCTTCAGACATGTAGCCCAACTGTTCAAATTTCGAGATTTACCATATTCTTATCTTTAGTCAGCATTATACTATCGATTACAAAGTATTGGGAATCTATGAAGTGATATGCGTAATAATCTCTTTCATCCTTTTGTAGATATTTTCGTCAAAACGCCGAAAAAATACTGATAAAAAAGAGGAGTTTCTACGACAATACTATCGTGATTTCCATTATGATGTTGATCGGGGTAAATTTCGCATGGGTCATGACTCGTCCGATGATGACGATGACACCGCTGAAACAGACACATTTGGAAATCCAAATTTAAATTTTCTTAGTTCTAGAAAATCATCTGGAGGTAATTTGTTTCCCTTTTCACTTAACCCAATAAAGAGTGATGGTTTATTACATTTACTTTAAAATATCTCGTTTGTGCACAACCATGCCATAACTTCACACTGATCCTTACCAAACCATTAGTTTTGTATGCTACTAATTATTGTTATTCTTGTTATATAAGTTATCCACTTCTCGAAATGTTTACTATAGATGTAGAAATAGGTTTGGAGAACACTTGATAGAAGAGGCTGAATATTGCTTCTCCCAAACTTCAAAGAAACGTATAAAGCGCTACATGTTAACTCACATTGTTCACCATTGCATTTTTATTGCACTATTCTGACAGAAACTGCTTGAGAAGAGAATATTAAATAAAAAGCAAACATCTAGTGGGAATACAAACAAGAAATATTTCACTCATTAGTTTAGCTTATTGTGGCTTGAAAATCTCTGCTTAATTGAAAATCAAAGACCTACGCTAGGTGGTGAGTAGACTGAAATTAACAAGTTTACTTTTTCTTTCAACATGTAGATTCAAACTGCAAACCATTTGAATGGGGTTCCGTTTTCAAGGGTTCTTACCCAGATATTTATCGCTCGGCTAAAAGTTTACCCAAAGATTTGGGAAAATTGCTTATGAGGATGGAACGCCAAGATTTGGGTAAGTTCGGTTTACTTACTACTCTTAATTTGACTATCATATACGTCTAATTACGTCTTTTTACTTGTTCCCCATCTTTTAACTCCTCATTACTCTTTGCCATTTTTCAAGATTGCAGATGTTCTTTTTCGTGTTGATGCAAAGTGTGGAAGATCCTACGTCATTCGTCTGTTTAAATAACTCAGCCAATATTTAATTTACTATTTTTCCCACCAAAACCTACATGTAATTGTGACTGACCTATAGATTTTACTGCCAGATTATTTATCAGGGTGATTTTAAGAGGGAATTCAGACTGGCATTTTAACGTGTATTTCATAACTGTTCCAACGCATCCGTTGTTGCTAACCCTAAATAATAATAAATAATCCTGAGTAACTTGATATTTCATATTTCGAAAATTATAGATACGGAAGAGTTGTCGCGTCTTCGTGTTAGACTCGAGCAAACTGAACATGAAATGACACGCATACTACAAGCAATGCAATCTGCAGAAGATGCTCTACGTGGTTCAATTGAAGAACAAGAGATAGATGAAGGAATTTTCACTACCATATCTGACAGGGAACAGTCTGGAGTAAATTTGAATGAATATGAAGATATGGCAAGTGAAGTGTTAGACAAAGAAATCACTGAGAAAAATGAATCAGAACGCGATTTTAATATCTCACAGTCAAAGGAGAATTTAGAAATACCATATGAAGAGGTGACGACATTTGACGACCATAACAAAGGTTAGCATTATATTTACAAATCAGTTATTCAATGGTATTTTCCTCATTACTACTATTTATTTTGACTTCTATTTATGCGTAAACTCTGACCTTACTATGCAGATAGTAAAGTTTCAATCAGACGGTTAACAGTTCTAGTCTTTCTCTATTCACCACCCTTCTTATTCCGAAGTACTTTTGTTTTCTACGTTTGCATCCGCTCATGATTGTCGGGTAGTTTTTCCTACTCCAACTTGGTCATACAAAAGAACGTAGTATTTACTTTATACAACCCAGTGCAATTATAAAATGATTTCTTTCAAATGGTCAATTGGTAAGGAGAGGAATGCGCATTCATATTTAGTGGTTTATACACTCATCAAGCTAATTGGAAACAAGATGACTTGTGAGTTCTATGAACAGATCCTAAAATCCCTGAGAAGTATTGACTTATGAACAGATACGTGAAAATTGTGAAATATAGTGGGTGAAAGTATAGCAAGTTAGGTTTTCACTCCACTGTAAAATCGCAGTAGTTTAAAGAACGCTGAGTAGATGATCTTTTCCGTTCTGATAAGCTGGATTTCTAAGACAATGATGTGCATTTAAATCATATTTACTGGCACGGAGGGGTCCACCTAGGGGAGTCGAAAAATCTGATTCTAAACCAATGGTGCTCATGGGCTCCAGGATCCTGATGGAAAAAATGGCGTATGAACCAATCGTTGGTCATCGACTACCATGGGACTGCATTTTCTTACGTCGCTCCACTGCCTTGTGGATCAGACCTATAGATCGAAGGCTCCGGGTGTGGCCCCATAAGGAAATCACCTGCCTCGGTCTGGGCACCTGGTCAGTATCACAGCCCACACACAAATCAAGTGACTTGTGTAGCGCATATGTATTCGGTGCCCCTTTTTATCAATATTTATGTGTTAAAATAAATAAATAAGCAGTTTTGATATTATATCAGACTAGTCGTGTAAGAAAAGCCAATACATGCATGTTTGAAGATAATATGGAAATCTCCTAGAGAAATGGATTTCGTAATATCTTATGCAGGTAATAGGCTCTTTTAAGCTTGCGAACATTAATTTTCTTTATTCGTACTGTAAACTGCATTATTATGAAGTGGATATGTGTGCTATCTGATCACCTAAATATATGATTGCTAGCATTATTTCAATTACATTCAACCTTATCTTTTCATTATCATTTGAAAAACTCTTATATGAAGTACCAATCTTACATAACTTAATCTGTTTCATGGTAAAAGTTTCTTAATTTTCTAACGAAATCCGTTATGACGGAGGTTTAGAACGCATGTACTACTACAAGGTTGAACTCGTGTACTCCTTGGAACATTTGTTGCCCATGCTTCCCAGTTAGTGTTCTCAAGGAGAAACTATCTCACATTGTCGTGAATTTTAGTATCGACCTCTCACATATCTTTAATAGTACTAGAGTCTACTTTGCTTAGTACCAGTTTCCTTTAAAAGTTTCTCCGATTCTCATTATCAATTCTTATACATTAGCCATCGAATTTCAACAGGATTATTCCTAAGCTCTATGTTTTAATAGGCTTGTACGCCTGTGTACTTTTCAAGATAATGTAAACAGTAGTTTATGACTGATCAAAAGCGAGAATTTACGTTCGTAAATCACTTTATAAGGCTTTTTATAACTAAAGTACAACCGAAGTTCACTATGTGATCAACCTTTCTCGCCCTATGTAAATATATACTGCCGGTCCCAAGCCCATGTAAAGGAAGAGAGTTGGGTATGGCGTCAGCAATCCCATCCTGTGGAAAACCTTGTTAAAAACGCTAACCAGAACAAGCAAATCAAACCATTTAAACTCTGCCCTGGGAGTTGTAGGATATTTATTCAGAAGAATTATGACGCTTCATAATGAAATCCGAGAGTTTTCGGAATTCACGAGGCCAATGCCCCTTCTAACAACCAGAGCAATAGTTAATACAGGCACATGGAATGTTCGAACAATGTTGGAGACCGGAAGGACCAGTCAAATGGTTACAGGAATGAGAATTCTATGTTGCCAGTTCTACTCTATGGAGTTGAAATTTAGAGAACGACTACAACCATAATAAAAATGTACAAGTATTTATAAACAACTGTCTACACAAGATACTCAATGTTCGTTCACCGGATACCATCAGCAACAACCCACTGTGACAGAGAGTAAACCAGCTTCCAGATGAAGAGGGAATTAGGAAAAGATGTTGGAGGTAGATAGAATATACATTATGGAAATCATCAAACTGCATCATGAGACAAGCAGTAACTTGTATTACTGAAGGTGAATGGAAAAGAGGAAGGCCTAGGAACATATTGCGTTGGGAATTGTAAGCAGACATTAGAAGAATGAATAGCATCTGGAAAGAACCGGAAAGGATTGCGTAGGACAGAGTTGGATGGAGAGTGCTGGTGGGTGACCTATGCTCCATGAGTTTTAACAGTAGTAAGTAATACATGTGTCCTTTCATTTTCTGGCAATGATAAGGTATATTCTTTAATTTTTACTAGGTGATGTAACTGAATCATGCATTCGCCGTCGTTTAGTTACATCTAATTGACTTCGGTCTCCAGCCGTCATCATGATTTGAACACGGAGACTAATCACCATGAATTACATAATAATCTCGCCACAACAATTAGTAACAATTCAAACACTTCTGTATACGGTTCTGATAATTTTATTCATAACGACCTCTGTGTTTCTAGTTACTTTTGCATTTATCTTCGTTTTTGTCACTTTGTATATTGTTGTAGTGAGCAAAATAAGTTTTTTTCCTACTTTTCTTTTTTTAATTTTCTATATTCCTCAAAATATTCCTTGGTAGTGTTGCATTTTTGTCATTTTTCTCTTGACTGACCAACAATATGTGATAAGCAATATTTGAATTATAATATGGTCTTATTTGTATGAGATAATTGTGTTTATCCGTTTGATGAGTGTGATGCATAATTATTGTACGCTAGAAATACATTCAACCTACAAAGTGCGCAACTTTTGAATCTTCAGTAACTCTAAAAAAAGTTCTTATACCGTATTCGTTAATTTGGAGTAATCGAGGAGTAGGTTGAATTCATACAATTCGTTATAATCGTTTCTTACAAATTGTACTTATTTTGTGCAGTCTGTTTGGACTATTAAGCATTTTGAGACTGACTTGAACATCCGTAATTTGAATATGTATAACTTCTACATATATTTGAGTAGCTTACTTTAACTACTACCCTGCCATTGTTTGTAGAGTAGTGATATTTTAGCGCCAGCAAGTATTTCCACATACTGCTTATTGGAGTGCATTTATAGAATACAATGCTGTGATCTCTTAAATGTGCTGTACAGAGTTCATGAACAAGGCATTTCATCTTGTAGCCAGAGAGACATAAACAACTCCGAACCTGATAGTAACGTCTATCTGTCCATATTGTTATAGCTCACATAACATCACAAGAATGAATATTCAACATTGGTGTAAAATAAGCGGTAAATATTGGAAGGAATAAATAAAATGAAATGTGGGGATAATAATATGTCCAAGACTCAGAGAAAGATGAATTTTATCTGGAGAATTTAAATCGGGACATTTGCACATTTCAAACAGTTTGAACAAATGATCTTGTAAACTAATGGAATTTTATTGTTGAGATTATTTTGGATGCCTAAAATTGATCTGTCTATATTGCGATTTTACGGTTAAGCCAGCCAAAAATTAACCACTAAATAGTTAATTAGATGTAACTTGATCTAAACAACATAAACATTCTTTTGCTATTGCAAAAATTGATAAGCAATAGGGAATTCCCACTTTTGAAAAAACTTTAGTAGTTTGGAAGGATCTTTAGATTACTACAGGTTGAACAGACTGCTTCAGTTATTTTTCAAAGGTGAAACACTAAATAGTCGGAAAATAAATTCGGATTAGTACTTAGAAACTAAGTCTTCTAGAAATCGCTATTTTATAAGACAAATTGATTATAAATGGATAAGTTCACCCTTGAAAATTATTACCATATTAAAGCATACCGTCCATAATCATTCACAAAATCTAATATAACTAACAACTGACTAATTATTGTAAGTATTGTTTACCTATAACACACTTCGGAATAGTCATTAAATGAATACGACACAAGATGTGTAACATTTAGATTACCTTACAGTTTGGTTTAGAATTACGCAATTGAAGCAAACAACTACTTTCACTTTCCATGAACTAAAGGACAAATACAGATAAGTAACCAATATTTGACAAGTACACATCAAATCTACTTCATTCAGGACAATGTACAATGGAACTACCAAAATTACAATAGACGAATTGACATAAAAACGCTAACCTGTAAAACCACGGCTCATGATTGATTATTTACCCCATTATATATTTGAATACATTAATGAAAATTAGTTTACAATAGACTTCTATGATTAACTTTTTTTAATCTTCGTAACAATATAATAATGAGTAAAATATGGAAATTCTACTAACAAACAAATAATCTAATTTTAAAAGAAAACGCGACTCAATAATGGTAATGACTGATTAAATTATACCGTAACAATAGTTTGAATTTAATAATTTATTGTTGTTATGTATACTACTAATAACACTGCTAATCAGTAGATAATCAAAATGACAACAATAATTAAGTATTCCTACTACCTGTTTTTGAAATTGAACACACACATGTACAGATGAACAAATAAAACAAGTCTTCTCCCATTAAAAGATACACACCCCGTTGAAAAGGAGGGAAGTACAGAAGAGAGAAATATTAACGAGAATAAAACAAGATGGGTGGGAATATTCAATGACATCAAAGACGACTTAATATATAATGGAATTTACAAAAAGAAACAAATATATATGTCTCGAAAAAGACAAACCTATCTTTAAAATAAAAAAGGAAAATTCGAAATGACATTACTAAAAGATAATGAAATAATAAAGTTACATTATACAGCTTGCATATATTATTACAATGGTCTTGCTTAGTGTTTTTTTTTCCGACGAACACATGCAGTATAATTCATAAAAATACAAAAATAGATATCTTTTCATCCGATTAAGAAAAGGAATGAATTTCACACACTGTCGTCACCTGATAGTGTTGTGTATGAGCATATACGTAATAATGATGAAGAAAGATTGACAGAAGAAGAAGACGATAATACTTATTGACTGCGAATATTACTGCCTAAACTTAATTGATTTAAAGTGTTTGTAAGGCTTCCTTGATGATAAACAGCGGTATTGTCGTTATCATTTGAATGTACTGCAGACACTGTTGATGACTGTACAGTATTGGTTGGTGTATTAACCTTATTATAAATTGGTTTTGATGTTAAATTAATTATTGGTTTACTATAAGTAGGTGTATCAGAAATGAATGGATCCATATTTAACTTATTTATAGGAAGTTGTAAATCTTCCTTTATATTCTGTATCACATTTAAAGATGAATAATCAGATGATGAACTGAAATCATGTAATCTTATGGTTGAATATTGTTGTATTGAATTTTGATACTGTTGATCTGTAGTAGATGATAATTGATTCAATCCATAGTCCTCTGTACCAGGTATTCGTTTAGGTCGTTTAACCTTTCTTAACATATTGGCCTACATACGTATTATGGAATAAAACAAATTGCGGAAATGACTATAGTAATCAAGCTGATATACTTACAAACTGAATATTATCTAAAGTTTTATGTCAATGAAAAGCCGTAAAATAATAGACTTATTACGTGTTTCAGCCATACTATCGATATGATCATTAATAAGAATCCCGCTATTTTGTGTCTACCATAAGATGAAATGACTTGAAGTAACTGTAAGTTGGTGTGGATGACCGGATTTCAAATCTAGTCTTGAAGTATTGTGTTTGCTACAGGGATCGTAATGTTTACGGCTTAATCTCAAGCTGAGTTTCGGATGAAGTGTCCGTAAATCACGACAAAACATCAATGTCACTTAATTATCAATGATCTACTAGCTCACAGTGAAAGCATGCGCATCAAATGTAAGTGAGAGATTGAAGATAAAAACTTTGCAAATGTAAACATAGACTAGAAAAAAAAATTAAATGAATATAGTTTAACATTATATTAAAATAACTAAAATGACTCGCTTACACTCAATGCGGAACGTAGTACAGTAATTTGACCAGGTGGATGAATAAATGGTTCGCCGTCAACTTGAATAGGAAGCTCAGATTTAAGCCAAATTTTCAACTAATGAAAAAACAGAAATTTTTCAATATCAATTAATTTATGCTCGATAATGATTGAAATATCACACTCAATTAAATACTAATGAAAACGACTATTCATTTTCACTTGGTATTGTTTTGCTTGTATCTTCCCATTAAGGTTTAAGACTGCGATTGATCAGTCTGTTGTTGGCATATATGCATACTGTGCGTATGCCTCGATATTGCTTTAATTCACAAGCTTTTTGTAAGCAATGATGGATAGTGGCTAGCAGTGGAATTCAGGACGCGCGTTTCGTCCTATTTGGGACTCGTCAGCTGGATGTACCTGCGTCTCAGGGTTGATGTTCACTCCGGGACTCGAACCCAGTATCATTCGCTTCAAACGCCATCGCGTTATCCACTCAGCTACTGAGTCCTGATAGCCACTTGCTTGTGCAATGGAGTGAATTTAAATTCACTTTGTATTGTTTTACTTGTATCTTCCCATTGACCTATTCATTTTTCTGTAATAGAAACAAATGAATCATACATTTATATTACTTATATCTACAAACATTTAATCTAGAAAGCAAAAATAATCAAAGGAAATTCAGCTAAGATATAATTTATCCAACTAATTATAAATAATAAAAGTAGATGTGCATAATAAATGCTGCGTTGATTTGTTGTTTTTCTTTTTCAAATTGAAAAAAAAAGCAAACAAATTTAAAATAGAGATTCTATTAGGGATTAAAAAACAAAAAGGATAGGACAGTTTACGACAATAAGAAATAATTAGTGAAGAAAATTATACTCTCCATAAGAAATAATATATCACATGGTATAAAGAGAGCTAATCAATAGGAAACTATAAATAAACAAATAGGTAGATAAATCACTCAACAACATAAATAATTCTTATTTTTTTAAAAAAGAAACACCGAGTGAAAAGATCAAAAGGCATTTCCCTATACATATATAGCTTTCCCAAAAAATGCATACATATGGGAAAACAAAACTCGTGATATCGCTAGTCATTTCTGTATGCAGAGCTTTCAAAATTAGAATAAACAAGTTATCTGTTTAGTAAATTCATTTTATACTGTTTGCTTGGATTTTCCCATTGATGTCTAGGACTGTAATTGATCAGTCTCTTATTGGCATATGTGCATCCTTAAGTCACAAGCATTATATGCAGGTACACCCAGCTGATGAGTCCCAAATAGGGCGAAACGCGCGTCCTGGATTCCACTGCTAGCCACCATCCATCTGTGCTTATATTTGTTTAGTATTTCTTAATTGTAAATAATAAGTCAGGAAGTGATATTGATTCTTGAAGTGAACTAGTTATAAAATTGTCTTTTTAAAAAGTCAATGTCAATTTTAGATAATGAAGAAATAGGAAAGCTAATGAATACCTTAACTATCCATGTTATGCCTAAGAATTACTACGAAATTTTGATAAGATGGTTAAACTGAATAAATAATAAGTTAGTCAGCAAGAATTTATCAAAACAAATCTCACAGTAGTATAATTACTAACAGCATCAGTAAAATAAGAAAATACTAGGAATAGACAATATGATTCGAGAAGAATAAATGAATTAAAGAAATAGAAAAGTATGCGGTAATCCTAAAACTCAAGATCTATGGGAATTGAATACATCTCTAATCTTGTATACAATTATGGGCCATATAACTCACGATAACTGAGTGGACCCATGCCGAAAATAGAGAACAGACAGATAATATATATATTTAAAATGTTCTTTGTAAAAAAAAATACAAACCAAATAGCTTAGCATAAAATAAGATGGACTGTACTGAAACTAGTTCGGGGAAGAAAAAAAACACAATCAGTTTAATCTATATTCGATGGATAGTTGAACAAATTTTCATATCGTTTATTTTTAAATTCAATGTCTATAGAAAAGACTTATCTTTTAAACTGAAAAAAAAGTATCAGTTAGAAACACGCACTAACTAGAAAAGTAGCTTGAAATTGGACAATATTTTAGGACAAATGTGTTTTACAAGATAATAAAATCTTTAACGGATTTCACAGCAAAAACTGTAACAAGAGAATGAAAAAAAATTTATCACATTTTGGGAATTTGCGCAAATTTTCGTAAGTTTAAGTATCAAGTAAACCTTGCAACAACAGAATTGAACAAGAAAAGGTATTCTGATAAAAAAAAATGATGTGCCGGAAAAGCAATGAAATCCTTAATATTTTGGTCTGATTCGCCTAGCATATGTCAGGATGAGTAGTTGTTTGCACATTTAGCATACGAGCTAGTTACCGCAATCAAAGTAAGTCAATAACCCTTTCATTTAATCTTCTCTACCTACCTAAAACTTTACATCTAACATCAACATTTCTAACCTAGTGGTTCTGTTACACGTGACCAATACTTTAGTGACATATATAATCGAACACATGTACATTTGTCTACATAATTAAGCTTGTTGGTCATGTTTCAAAGAAGAAAGACACTTTAAATTTCAAATAAAGATAAACAATCACCCGAGTGCTAACTACATTCGCTAAAAGCTCTTAAAGTATCTGATAAATGGTGGTTTGAAAAAATTTTTTAATTCATTTACGTTATCTTTAGTTTATCATGAAACGATAAAGATGTTTAATTTAGGCAGACGTTTTACGTTGTTTTGTATTCTCTGAACTTGATGATTTAGTCGTTAAGTACATTCAAATTATAGTGGGCAATATCAACGCTTACCTACATAAAGTGAGCGAACATATTAACCACTAGTTTGGAAAAGTTAAATTAACTACATTTGGAAAAAAGAATAATTTTAAGATTCAAAAAATATGTTGTTAACATTTACTATGGTATTTTAAGAAATCTTAAAAATAAAACAGATTAATTTTACGAAATCTAACAAATCATTTTTAATATAAAAAAGTCAAAATTACATGTGCTGCTTGAGCAAGACGAATCCCAGTGCCAAGACCAGAATAGATTTGTCCCATATGAACTACACCAGAAATACCAACAATTTCAAGTAAACCATCATAATGTGTAGGTTTAACAAATTCATCATCATGCTTTTCCGCATTCCATGGATTAGCTCCACCACCCCAAGAAAGAATATTTAATACAACTAGACCTTCAATTGGTGGTAATATGACAATTTTCCCATCAGCAATAACTACAATTTGTTTGTGTAAATCTTTGCAAATAGTTCGATTAATCATTTTTCTTAAACCAATTTTAAAATAAACACCTTTATTGTGAATACTAAACAAGAAATAAAATAAACAATACGTTAATCAAAATATCCATGGACTGAAATTATTCGTTTGAACATAATAAAATTCACCTGTAACAATTCTCATCATTTTTAATAAAATCTATTTATTAACAACAGTAATAAAGAAAAAAATAGTCAGTCAGTAACAACGTAGAACTTCGTACGTACGTACATCAGTTCAAGTTCCCACACCACATTAACACAGAGATGCACTGGTCGATTCAAATCCCGTAGTGGTGGAGGTAATAAGAGTATAAGCAGTAATCGAAAACATTAGAGTTTGAACACGTTATTCAACGAGTACAATACAGTGAAATAAATTTGGAAAGAGGAAAAAAGGAAGCGACATGAAGAATTCAGAGGATTAGAATCTGGGAGAACACAAAGAGTGGATGCACCTGCGCCATTGCAAACGATTTCGAGCCATGTCATTCAGGGTCTCTAACCATCGGTTGCTATCATCTCGTGGACCCCAACCACGTAGTCTACACCTACCAACATGGCTCAGTCCACTTGTCAGTGACTTCATGGATTTGTGTCATGTTTTGGTCTGTCCACCCCTAGCTTTCTTCCAACCTACTCCTACACCATAAAACATCGCAGGTCGGTGCAGTCGGTGGTTGAGCATACGAAACACGTGTCCCAGAAACCTCAACTGATGAAGTTTCACCATTTCATCAATTGATTTGCCAACCTTACCTAGTACCCGTTTCCTAACAACTACGTTACTTACTCGATGGTCCCAGGATATACGACCAATGTTTCGAAGACACCTATGATCGAATACTAGTAACCCACGAATATCCTCGTCTCTTACTGGCCATGTTTCACTGCCATAAAGTATGACGGAACGACGTGCTGCGCAGTAAACACGTTCTTTGGTTGATAGACGGATATCTCGCCTACGCCATAAATGACGCAAGTGGGGAAAAGCTAGTCGAGCCTTCTGCATCCGTGTTGAGATTTCGTCACACACCAGACTTCCCAGATAAGTGAAGTGGTCGACACGCTCAACTACTTCACTCCCTATCATTAGTACGGTTGTCGATGCCACCCAATCCTGAAGTAACATTTTGCATTTCTAGTGGGAGAATCGCATCCTGAACATGTTTGCATTGTTGCTTAAAAAATAGAGTTTCAATGTGTATTATGTAAAGATTAGAATAAAATACAGCATGGCACAGTACACTAAAACTGATTGATAACCAATGAAATGTTTCTAGAGTTTAGTTGTTATGTGAAATCATTGAGTACACACAAAAAAGTGAAAATAACTTTTTCATATTTATTGAAAACTAAACATGTGATAAGCTGTCTGAAGAACTGATAAGACATATAATAAAAAAACATATCTGATGGACAAATTATAATTTGGTCCTATAATATTCATATATGCTACAATCATTTATGCTTAGAATGACATTTAATTATGCTTAATGCTGTGCTTAATATTTTGAATATAAGGTCCACTAAGCAGAAAATACAACTCTTAACTCATTTGTCTTACCTCTTAATATCCGTCCATCATCAGTAGGTTGGTTTTCGCATGTACTTGTCACTTAACGATAAAAACTCACTTCAGCTCAGGCAAGTGATCACATACTAATATATAAACATACAGTTTTTCTTCCGCATTATAAGAACCATACAAAAAGGTAGGGTGACCTAGTGACCTAATTAGTAGCTGAAAATATCTCTTGGTTTGGTAGTGAACATGGTTTTCTACAAACTGAAATGACCATTAAGGGTTCCAAAAGTTTTAGAAGATATGAATCAGTAAATTTACTGAGTAATTTTAGCAAGCCAGAAAACAAAAACAAACTGTCCAACACTACTTGATTTTTAATATAATTTATCCAAATGATGTTGATGTCACGGTAGAAATAGCATCTTTACCTTAAAGTATTAACTACCTTCATGTCAGATCAAATCCTACCAATTTAGGCACAGATTTGATCGATAGAATATGTTCACCACTTACGATAATAGAACATAATATTGGTTATTAATCAGTGAACAACCAACGCAAATATCTTATTTCCTCAGAAGATCGATCGGTGTTTGGTTAGCTCGCTGAGAAACGCTTCTAATTGTGACAATAAGTGACATGGGTTCGAATCACATAGAGAGAAACTCCTTTTAAAAATGAAACTAATACGTAACCACCTTATGCCTGAGATTTATTGACGACTGACTCCTCCAATCATCTCTAATATGCACAATGAAGAATGGAAAACTAGCACAAAAATTGAAGGGACACATACAAAAAAATTACAACAATTTACCGGCTATTGAATTTTGATGGATTCTCTGAACGTGCATTATGAAAATCTAATGATAAATCAGCATCTATACCGATGCCAAAATAATTATTCATAATAATCATAATTGAATTATCTTCATTTGTATTTGATGCATTGGTTTGCAATTCTAAAGCTAATTTTGTTTCATCTTTAAAATCTTCTTCTGGTCGAACAATCAACGTCCATCTATAAGCGATTATCAGTAGTAATAAAAAAGGAAGTAATAATAAGGGTGTTGTTTTAACAAATAAAGTCGGTCAACAGGTAAAGAAACTTAGAATTCCGGCACATTATACAACGACTCAATTCGCTACATCATATCAACACAACAACATGAAGTTATCAAGACAAGAATAACAACAATAGAAGTAGTAACACGATTGATAAAGGTAAAAAACATTAAGCATAGAAATTATGATTCAAGAAGGAATGAATCCATGGAATAAAAAAGTAAAGCAATTTAAAAAGTCTAAGTTAAAAGGAAAACACTACTGAGATTGATTCTGAGTTATGTCACTCATGATTTTATAAGAGTACCTTACCTGCTAGCTAATATTTCAGAATGATCATTATCAGGAGTGAAAGCAAAAACTGTCTAACAAATATTGTACTTTTATTATAACTACTACATAGTCTACAACTACTCAATTGATTTGTCATACAAGTAGGGAAGAAAAATGTTCTGAGTTTGCATTTGACAAGAGACTTATGTATCATGAATTAGTTCCTTCTGTAATACCTGAGCGTTAAGTAGGTTTATTAAAAAAGGTTCATTTCTTCAATACGATAAATAAAATGCTACTGAGTAAAGAATACAGTTATCAGAAGTTCATATGATAAACACAATTATATAAGTACGTAGCTGATAGTTTTGTAGAGATTGTTAAATATTATAGTTAACATTTATGACAATCATTATTTTGTGGTGTCACCATCAATAATAACTGTGTCCTCATTAGTGACTAATTTCGACAGGAAATTCCCGGAGTTCTAGTGAGAATCCGTAACCAGTAGAATTCAACCATGTCTGTGGTGCGAAACAGTTACTCATCAATGGTATCAGAAGCTAGGTGTGCGATATCGCGAATAAATCGGCATTAGAAATGTAAACCACTGGATTCCCACGAAGTAACTAAACGTTGAGTACCCGCTGCGAAACCTGAAGGTCCTGGGTAGGATCCCAGATAAGGTCGTTGACATACACTGATGAGCAGTCTCCTATCAAAATGAACTAGCTCTATTCAGTGCTTTCGGATGTACAGCGGTTGGCTGAAATCAGTCAGTGATGTAAATTATGGTCGTATGAGTAATTTTCGATAAAATATGAAGTGAAATAATGTTATCTACCGGTCTAACTTCACTTCTTCAGCGGCAACTACATCCTTTAAAATAGTTAGAGGATCATCAGCTGATGAATAACCAGAACCCCATCGAAGAACACGAGATAGATCATTACCAGTCCCAAGAGGAAGAGGAGCAATAGGAGGAGCGTTACATGCTGCATCCTGTCCAACAATATCCAAACATGACAATGTCCATCCTACTGTACCATCTCCACCACAAACAAGAATCTTATATGAAGCTAAATGACGAAAGCAGTACAGACCAGGTAAAGGACCACCATAATCAAGGTTAAATACCTAATAAAAAAGAACAAAGACAGTGGAACAACAGATGAAATGATGATTGAAGTCGAACAAATAAATAAACTGTATACATTACTATCGAAATGTCATACATGATATTTAAGCAAGTGGGTAAAGTTCATCAACATTCATGATTATATTTGCAAACGTTTCATTGTTTATAATAAAATGACAAAACAAAAATGCATTAAATATATTTTATTATGAATTCGATGTAAAATATTCATTATTCTTTAGTATCAGGCTGAATGAAAGAAATATACAATACAACTCAATCATAAGATGAAGTTTAATGTAATAGATTACAAGGTAGATTAATTATTAACAAAAATTAATAGTAATAATATTTATTTAGTCTAAATATAATTATGTTAATTGGATTTGAACAGTTTAAAAAGTTAGTCATAATGCCATATCTAACAAAATGAAATTGTACACTTCATTGAAATGAAAATATTTAAAACAACGCCCCCAAATGCCCTGGTACGGCCGAAAGTGTGGAGAGTCCGCTCTCCCTCTCCAAATGCTCTCACATGGCCACGCGAATATAGTCTCCGCCAGGGAAGTCCTACTCACTGCCTTCTCATGGCGGGGGTGTTGTTTACGAAATTGAGAAGACGAAAAGCGAACGTTCGGCGCTTTAACCGGGTTGGTGGATATGGAGAGTTCATCTAGAGGAGTTGGAAAACCCTGATTCCAAAACAATGGTGCACATGGGCTCCAGTACCCTGAGTGAACAAATGGCGTATGAACCAATCGTTGGTCACCGACTACCATGGGACTGCAACTCCTTAGGATGCCCCCATTGCCTTGTGGATCAGACCTGTAGGTCGAAGGCTTCGGGTGTGGCTCCCTAAGAAAACCACCTGCTTCGGTTTGGGCACCCGTGCAGTATCACAGCCTTTACACATAAAATGAGATCTGTGTGGCGCACATGTATTTGGTGCCTCCTTTATCAATATCTATGTGTTCAAATAATAATAATCTAAAACAACAACAAAACAGCAGATCATTCGAAATTAAGAACAGAATAATACCCAAGTAACTATTCTCATTTAATTTATAAAAATAACTGAACAAATTCAAATTACAAAGTATTTAATTCTTATGTAAATCTAAATATTTTTTTTAAAAAAAATTCAATGGAAATAGGGTAGAAGTATCGTTAAATGATGTAATATCTTGGGCATCTATTTGTTTATTTATTTGAACGTATAAATATTGGTACAAAGGGGCACCAGATATATATACGCCACACTATTAAGCATCACACAATATTAACCAATAATTAAGGTATAAATTAATAAAATACGAGATGATTACACTACTTTATCATATTTAAGTATAGTATGTGTACGATTGACTAACTAAACTGCTCTAAAAATATATAAATTCGAATTCGTTATCTATACTTTCCAACTAATAATCATAAAAAGTGTCAAACAGACAAAAATAAAGTGAGATCCTTTAAAGTTGGTGAAATTAGAGTGAGGATAAACTCCATTCTCGTTCACAATTTTGACCTTTCGCCTGATAACCAGCCAAAATGAACTATTATATACACTTTCGTAATCCATGATGGAGGGTGTGTTTCGTTACTTGTTGTTTTTTCTGGCTTGCATGAAAAATGTAAAGATTTCTAAGACAAAAATATCATTCCATTATGCTAGGAACGCGTCAAATGTAGGCAAGTCAGTCATGATGGAAGAAACATCACAACACAGCTGGTGTAGACCTGTAGCTCAGGTGGATGATCTTGATGGAGTTTTGTTCTCTGAGCTGGATGGTTTGGTCGTGGAGCTTTCATCAGTGCAAACTTCAGGTAGAAGTGAAAAGTTCAAATTTTTCCACATGTGGTTCACAGCTTGTCTTGTACGCCCCAATGTTGATTGGTTCTTGTTGACCTTAAACCTGTCATTGTTTACTTCTTTGTTTTGGTTGTATCTCCCGTTGGTTTGATTTTTGTTTCTATGTTTGTGTTTACTTTTCCAAACGATCCAGCTCAGAGAACAAAACTCCATCAAAAATTGCAACACAGCAAATAACATGCCTCCAATCAATTCTATGATAGAAATTGCTTTAAAATACATACAAATGAGTGACTATAAAAAACGTAACCGTAATTACTGACTACGATACACAGATAAGTTGGGAAAGTGAAGTTTATACCCAGCCTGATATTGCCATTGGGAAGTAGAAAAGAAAAAGAAAGTGAAAAAAGTATGAGAATAACGGATATCAATTATATTAAATGAATAAGCACTTTTGAAAAAAAATAGGTCATTAGAGAAGATATCAATGAAAAATATCATTAATCACATACACAACTGAACCAATTACACTTGAAAACTAAATTCAAAAGACGTAAGAAATGAGCTACAATAAATGGCATACATTGGTAACGGGATAAAAAATGTATATAAAACAATATTACAATTCTTTTATAAGCGATAGTTGTGTATACAGTAAATTAGTGAACAAAACAAATGAAAACAAAACAGACATTGAAATATACTAACACAGGAAAACATATATACACTTACTTGAAATGGATTGAGTAATCGACGAAAAGCAACAATTAAATCGACACCTTGACAACCTCCAGATTTTAAATTGACAAATACTAAAAGTGGTTGAATTCCTTTAGGTAAATTTTGTGGGTGAATTGTTGGGAGAAGTAGAGCAGTTATTGGTTTATTCATAAATATAGATTCCTAGTAAAGCATAGATTTATATATACAAGTATTGCAATGAAATAAAAAGAAACTGTATAAATTAGTACTGAATGGTTGTAAACATTGAATAACCTAACTTAGAATAGATAACAATAGCATAAATGTATCCATTCTTCACTCTGAAAGACTTGTACTTTTTTATTCAATAAATTCATTTTTCACTTTTCGAGTAATATTAGTGACGATTATTGTTTACTACTTATAGTGATACTTTTACTATTATTGCATTTGTCTTAATAATTTTATCTTGATATGATTATATGTTGTGGCGAATTGAATCGGTGCTCAATATACTTATTTACTCTTGTTACCTCCCACGAAGCATAGGCCGCCCACAAATATTCTCTATCCAACGCAATACTTTCCACTTGTTTCCAGTTGCTATTCATTCTTGTGAGGTCTGCTTCCAATTATCGACACAGTGTATTATTTGGTCTTCCTCTTTTCCGTTTCCCTTCAGGATGACAAGTTAGTGCTTGCCACGTGATGCAGTTTGATGATTTCCGTAATGTATATCCTATCCACTCCCAGTCTTCCTCTAATTTCCTCTTCAGTTAGAAACTGGTTTATTCTCCCCCACAGTAGACTGTTGCTCGTGGTATATGGTCAACGGACATTGAGTATCTTGTGTAGACCATTTTCTATAAATACTTGTACTTTTATGATGATGGCTGTCGTAGTTTCAGCTCTGTACAGTATAGTTGTTTTGACGTTCATATTGAAGATTCTCACTTTGAAGTTGGCTTGCAGACAGTTGTTTTGAGTTCCATATATTCTTCAACTGTAGGAATTCTGTCCTTGCTTTACCGATACTCGCCATTACGTCTGCATCAGATCCCCCTTGTTCATCGATCATGCTGTCCAGGTATGTGATAGTCTCCATCTTATCCAGAGCTTCTCCGTTAAGTGTGATTGAGTTGATGTTCTCTGTGTTGTATTTGACGATCCTGAGGTTTACCTTGTATATACTGAGGCCCATTGATGCAGAAACTTCTGGTTGTCTTGACCTGCTTTTGTTCGTGGGTATGGAATAGAAGAGCCAGGTCATCTGAAAAGTCCAAATCGTCTAGTTGCATCCAACCTGTCCATTGTATTTCATGCTTCTCCTCAGATATGGTCTTCAAAATCCAGTCAACCATCAGAAGAAAGAAAAAAGAGGAGAGTAAGCACACTTGTCTGACACCGGTCCTGAATTGCAATGCATGTCCTCCACCAACGACTATGCAGTGTAGTCCGTAATGGCGTCCGCCAGTAAGCTAGATACTTGGAGGCCAGGGTGAGTAGTTTCGTGGGACCGGGAGTACTGGCATATGTGTGCTTATGTTGATCGGGCATCCACGCTAAGTAAGACGCCGATATGGATGACCCATCGGAGTGAGGGTTGTCCAGGTCGTCCAAGGAGGGACGGACCGACCCAGGGGGAAACTCAACAGACAGACGTCCTCGTGTGGTATGGTAGCTGGATAGAACCTGTGGATGATGTTCACATGACAGTCCGGCTGATGCGTGAAGACCGCCTCTTTAGCTCCGCCTGTAGCGCTTCCAGGGTTATTGCCGGTCCAATGCCCCAGTAAAGGAAGGGAGTTGCGCATGTGGTCATCAACCACATCTTGCAGAAAACAACTCTGGTAAGAAAAGCTAACCAGGTGCACAATATGTCAGGTTCTAAATTGCTTACGATTGACTGTTCCTCTAAAACTTCTTACGTCTCCATTCGCCCATTATTTTGACAAGCTTTATAAATATCCTTTAGTTTTTCATAGAGCAGATTTTGAAATATTTACAGGTGGACTAAAAGCAGCTACGAAAGGATTTCATCTTAAACATTAAAGTGGAAACAGATCATATAAAAAGAATAGTAAATAGTCAGTAATGGATTGTGGAAATTGTTGACTTTCATAGAAATCATGAACGAATCTAAGTCAGGCCATCAGTAAAAACTTGAAGGCATTGGATGACCGCCTCTTCCTGAGGAGTCCCATACTGGAAAGAAATGTCTGTCCAGTGCTTCCAGGTTTTCAATGGTGATCTAACTTAGATCCATTCACGATTTCAATGAAAATTATAAATAAATAAAAAGTGGAATTAATTTGTAAAAAATTAATGACGTACATTTAATAATTCATAAGCTTGTTCAGCTTTTTCACTTGAGTGATAATTTAAAACAAGACAACCACTTTCATAATATATTACTTCAATTGAATCCCAACGACATTTTTCACCTAATTTGTCTAATAATACACGTTCATACAATCGTTGTGATAGGTTTTCTTTAAGATTGCCTACAAACAAGGAGACGCTAGGGCCGATAGGAGGATCTTCAACAAAACGTAATTCGAATCGAGTGAATTGTGATATTCTAGCTGATTCTTCACGCAACTGATCAAGTAGCAGCATTGGACGATCATCTTTATTTAATAATTGTTCACTAACTGTACGATCAACACAAACACTGCTTAAATAACAGTCATCTGGGCTCATATGCTAAAGAAAAACACACAAAAAGATTTATGAGTATATATAAACAGGATTACACCGAAAAACTTTCTTGTAAAATTACTATATGATGTAAGTTATTTGCCAAGTAAATACTTATGCACTACAGTTAAAGTGACAATTCTTCTACAAACAGACTAGTTAGAATATCTAGCTTATCAAAACAAAAATGTAAGAAAGGGTCTGAAACAGCAACCTCATGACTGGAAACTAAACACTATAATCATCTAGTCACCGCATTATGTAGATTATAGGAAAATATACTTGTTTATGTAAGGTGTTAATATATCTAGCTCAACTTACCAAACTTTTTAGAATCTATTAAGAATCATATTTGAGGAATATTCTAGTTAGAATAGTTTATTTTATATTTAAGTAGAACAAAGGTTGAGCCCTATACTTAAATAAGAAAAATTCAACTTAATGATTGATTACTGCTTCAAGTACTAAGCTGTAAGTAACGACTGTGATATGAGAGACGATGAAACCACACACCTACTCAAATAATGCTTGATGAGATAAGATTTCAGCTTTTCTTCCGGTAAATGGGGGCCAAATTAAAAAAAAACTATTAAAACAGTTAGTTATGCTTGACTGATACGCACTTGAAGAGGTCATCATATATAAGAACAAATAAAAGAAATGATTTAAAAGATTTTTTCAATCAGCATAACAAATCCATGCACATTTCACAGTATAAATTCAACCGATAAGAAAATTCTTCATTACAAATTTAAAATCTTTTTTTTAACTAAGATGATGATGTGATGATATTTCGTCACACACCAGACCACAAGGGCTGATGAGACTTCCAAGATAAGTGAAGCCGTCGACACGCTCAACTACTTTACTCCCTATCATTAGTTTGGGTTTCGATGTAACCCAATCCTGAAGTAACATTTTGCATTTCGAAGGAGAGAATCGCATCCCGAACATAATCTTGCTTCTAATACTGAACCACCATCCTTAAAAATCTCAGAGTAAACCTGTCAGGGCCTGCTGCTCTCCCTCGCTTCTGATTTCCTATGGCTTTTTCAACTTCGTAAAGAGTCGGAGGACCTACACTAACTCGCCATTCAGGTTGACTGGAGATCGTGGGAAACCCAAGTGTGGCTGAAGGCCAGTTGAACTGATCTCTGAAGTGTTCTGCCCATCGATCCAATCTCCTGGATTGAGAATGTATAATATGTCCAACTTTCTCTGACAGCGTTTCGCTAACAGTCAGTTTCCTAATACCGGTTTCCTTAACAAGTCTGAACAATTGTCTGCTATTGCCTATTGCCGCTGCCTTTTCCATCTCCCTTGCTTTCGCTACCCACCACTGTTCACGATCATTGCGTAAGCTTCTTGTCAGCTTGCGCTTAAGCTGATTCCGCTCTTCGTTATGTTCAGAACCACATGGAATGAATTTCCGAGCATCTATCAGTGCGGTAGATGCTTCTGAGATTCTGTGTTTCTCCCCAACCTTACGGTTTACCGTACTTGCAGACATCACTGCTGTTTCCACAACTTTTCGGATATCATTCCATGCTACCTCGAGGTGGGCATCACATACATGGCTGCCTAACTGTTTTTCTAGTTGTTCCTGAAATATACTCCTAGCTTGATTATTATTATTATTATTATTATTATTATTATTATTATTATTATTATTATTATTATTAAGTAGGACCCTAAGAGCTGTAACAGACGGTCGCCATTATCTGATCTTTGAGCCACGACACCATAAGATCCACCCAGGTGTATTTCCCTTTCGCTCAGTTTACCTACTTGAGCACTAAAGTCACCAGCCACTATTACTACATTAGAGCGCCTAGCTTTTCAGAGAAGCTTTCTGTAAAACTTATCTTTTACATCATCTGAGCTGCAGTCAGTGGGAGAATAGGCAGAAACGACGAAGAGGCAACGACGAGTGTCCCTATCTTTCCGGATTCTTACTGTTCCGTTCAGTCGGACAGCGCACAATTGACTGTCTACTGGGATCCAGTCTAAGAGAGCTAGTTCTGACCTAGGACTCAATGCTATACCTTCGCCGGCGTGGTCACGAGAAGCAGCATCAGGGCTTCTAGATATACAAAGTGTGAATCGAGTTGGTTCTTTATTTTGCCATCGTGAGGTCAAATGAAAGACATTACTAGGATCCTGTATGCACGTTCCGGAGACGCAGCACACATCAATGGCGCGAGATTCTAAAGTCCTAGATAAGAAAGCCTGTTGTCCTATTTGGCACAATGTTCGGACGTTAAAAGCTCCTACGTGTAGTTTAGAGCGTGGTTTTAGACCAAAAATAACGTTCCGCGTACTCGAATCTTTTGCTCTAGTGGTGTGAGGTGATAAAGGGACATGTGAAGGGTTAGTCGTGGAGATAAGAGAGGTATTAGGAGGTGTAGGAAGGATTTGAATGTGACCAACTTGGTCTCGTGTGCTGTTACGAGTATGAGGGCTGATGTCACTTCCCGGATGCCCACACCGTGGAAGGGTATTTCTTGAGGAACCTGGAAAGGAAGTTAGACTAATGTTGGCCTTAACGACCTGGGAGCGTGACCGCAGAGCCCAAGGGACAACTACTTGAGGCCAGTCGCGCACGGCCTTTTTGTGGAAGGTTTTTATTGTGTTAGCTCTGTTCTTCAAAGGGCCTTACCGCCAGAGACGGAAATCCGTGAGGTAAGGTGAGGTGTGACAATTTTGGGTTAACCTTTTCTAACCCCTTCCTTCCTTGTGAGAAGGTAGCATCGCTGCAGATGATGGTTGTCTGAGGGAAACACCTTACTGCTGTCACACCTCTGTACAGTCAGCAGTACGACTTCGCCCTCAGACCTTGAGTTGCTGATTTTAGTCTTACCGTTTTCCAATCGACCTGCCTGGCATGTCAGAACCTACAGGAACGTATGTTCCAGCCAATATAGTTCGGTTGGATCATCACGATAGGCAAGCCCGACCACTGCGTCAAGGTAGCAGCTACGGTCGAGATTTAACAATAAGGACAGACAACTCAAGTGAAAAAAAGCTTTATTTGATGATTTCAATAGCAATTAGGAACTTGATAAAATTCGTGTTTTTAAAACCACAACAAGTATCTTCATATTATCTTTAATGTTAACTTACTCCACAACCAAAATTATTCAAAGCCATTGCAACCACTTTGGATGCAGTAGTTTCGGAATTAATAGTCACCTCTTCATATGGCGGTACATGAGGAGCAAGTAGTAAGCTGTAACAAGAAAAGTTCTGTTTTTGGTTTTAAAGAACTAACAAATTGTGCGAGTACATAAATAAATTTGTAGCTAAAACAATAAATAGTGTACTATAAGGACAACTGGGAAAAAAAGGTCCGATCCATTTAAGAGTAAAATACAAACTAAAACACATCACATCATATTAATTTTAATGCTACTTTTAATCACATACAAGTTAATAAGTAAAATGTATCAGAATATTTCAATTAAACCCTGTATCCTAGGTGATATTCATATGTATATATTTGGTATAAATGATAGCATACAGTGAATTGGACATAATGAAGTAAATACATATGACTGGTAATTCAATCTTCTTTCTATAGAAATCTAGTATGGAGTTCGTAATAAAATATTTTTCTCAACATTCTAATCTATAAAAATAATAGAAAGCTCCAACAATATGGAAAATATAAAGATCAAGACAACAGTTCTTTAGAGCACATAATACACAATCCTTTTTTGACTAGAAACTAATACCATACGTAAATACTGACCAACATTAGGAACATCATATGATAGTCTAAATCATAGACATGCTCATGAGAAATTGTTATTTTAGCTATTACTAAAAAATTCAAATTATATAAGAGAAAATGACTAAATACTTATAATGCATGCATTTTAGGCGATCCAGAGCATTCTGATCGCCCTGATTAACAATGCAAGCATGAGTGGGATGTTTTTATCCCTCTTAATCCAAAATTTTGCTTCAGGACTGGTCTGCGTCAGTAACTACTAAAAATGACAGTGAAATAGTTGAGCAGATTGACGATTTCGTTTATCTTGAAAGCCTGATCAACTCTGGTGTGCCAGTTTCTGATTAAATCTCGACACAGATTTACAAAACTCAGTTGATATTGACCAATTTACGCCATTCGTGGCTATGAAAATTTTCGTCTTCCAATTAAAGGATGAATAAATTGTGCAGAATTCCACTCTGTATTACTTCATGGCTGTGAAAAATGGTCTATGAAAGAAGAAGAAACGTGTAGACTGCCAATTATAATTCATAGACGTCTTCGAAGCATTACTCACATATCACGGAACGACTGGGTAAGTAATGTTGAAGTTAAATACAGGGTACAAGGCAAAGATGAGCAACCAGTTGGAGGGATTATGAATGTTCCTCAAATGAGGTGGTCGTAAAAATGAACACAGATTAGCAGTGGAATGATATGATATGTTATTACTGATATCAACGCTCGTGGAGAATCACGAACACGAATTTAATTAGAGCGACGTTGAAATTTTGGATAAAAGAAGATATAAGAATGCCACAAGATTTATAGAAGCATGCCATCCAGATCAATTGTCAACCTGTAGACATATCGACATATCAATTTACGCGGAAGAGTTCATTTAATCACAGTGTAGGAGATTAATCAAAAATGACAATCAAAATAAGTGCAAAAACTGAGAACAACAGTATCTAAGAAGACAACTATGTAGAAACGAAATCATCAAAACAAGGACTTATAAAATCACCAAAAAAGCTCATTTCTACGTGAAACAGACGATGATGTTGTCCAGAGCGACAACGAAAGTTCTTAAATTAAACCATTAAGAGCAAAGAACACAACGCCAAAGTACTTCATATGAAGTCAGTAGCAAAGAAGTAAGAATTAAATGAAAAAATAAAACCGATAATTGTATTCTGTAAGAGAAAGAGAAAATAAAAAGTAGTCACTATGAATACGTAACAAAACGTTGATACACCACTCAAGATGAGTACAGTAGATCCTATTAGAAATGGGGATTCCGTAAAAGTTGCCAAACATCACCGTTGAACAATAATAGGTTTGATTTAAAGCTGAATAAAAAATATACAAGTGAGACACGTTTCTCTATCTAACAGTGATATTTTTTGGTGTTCTTTCGTAATAAACTGATCTGAAAATAAATTTTTAACCTACTAGTTGGCTTATATTAAGTTTCTATACAATCCATAAATAGAGAGTATTAAAACTAAAGAATACATTAAAGAGGAAGAGGCAAAAGATAAAAATAAACAAAAACATACACATAGATTATTATTATTATTATTATTATTATTATTATTATTATTATTATTATTTCAATCTACTGTATCCAAATGTAAATATGAAAACGTTTTACGAAATATTTATATTGACTTATGGCAAAAACAATTTCCCAAACTGTTGTTTTCTCATATATGAGGGTATAATTAACTCGATCAAGTGTTTTATTTTTATGCAAATTCGTTAAAAGAACTTAATATTAATTAGAGGATAAATCATAATAAAATCTCATTCTATTTCTTTGAATTAGGACAACCACATATTGATGAATTTACATAATAAGCGAGATTTGGACCACCTTGAAAAAAAAGTTTTTTTACTATTCACTATAATCAAATTTATATAACCAAACGAATGAAGAATAAAGATTTACATAGGTTCTAAACCTGAACTTGTAACACTTTGAAACGTACCGTAAATCTCCAGCGTACACTTTAATGGTAATCGTTGATTCCTCCGGTTCTTTAGATCGAATCAATATGGAAGGTTGCTTTAAATCAAATCTCAACTGACTACGAAGATTGACATGATAATTAAGTTTGTTTTCAGTCCCATCTATGCAAAAAAAGATGGAAAAAATTAATGTGAATTCAGACATAATATGAACGCGAAATCCCACATAAAACTTGCATAATTATTTAAATACTGTTTGCTTCAAATAATAATTCAATCATCATGGATTGAGAATATATAATCCAATGACAAATGGCTATGATCCCAAAAACATATCGATTGTTCACGTTGTACAGAGTAATGCTGCTAAGAATGTAGGATACTAGTAACATAATTGCATGGAGGAATGGTTTAGTGTTTACAGTTTTCAGGTTTGAACATTACTTTATCTACTTAAGTTTACATAATATGGTTTTATCACTGATGCTCGTAAATAAAACGAAACTCAAACTCGATTACACGAACATGTACCTAGTTAATTCATTACATTGAATTTCATATAGTTGTATTCCCTCGTACATTCTACTCAACATTTTCTAATTCAAGTGCTATTCACCCATTTTTCCTCAATTTTCTCCCTTTTCTCCATCTAGTCATCACACGGTTTCCTTCTTTATATATATATATATATATATATATATATATATATATATATATATATATATATGAGAAGAAAACATTGTGGTCATGTTTATAATACTAGATATCCAGCATTTATTTTAGACATATGTGCAAGACAGTTTAACTATTACTACTATTACTTCACTTTTTAAAAAAGAAATGAAAAGTAATGTGAAGAAACCAAATCACCATTGTTTTAGCCTAATCATATGCAGCTAATCAATAATCAATCAACAATTAGTACGTAGACAACTGTTCCATAGATAAATATAGCCGAAGAGTATAGAAAAAAAGCAATTTAACATACATTATTCGAGTATTAAACTTCTATGATAAAAAGGAAATATATTAATCAACTAAGTAATTCACTGGAAACAATAAACTGAAGTTGCTTTCTACCTAATAATAAATACAAATTGTAGAAGTAAGACAACGTTATAGTCTCATATTAGTAACAATACTAACATTTTACTATACGCATATATCGAACATGATTACAAGACGGTTATACGACTTTTTGCAAATCAAATATTAACATAATCAGAAAATTATGTAAGAAAATAGATAGATTGGAATATCAAATATTTCTGGTAATTCTTAAACAGTTATATATCATAGGATTAATGACTTTACTGGAAACAATAAAATATACTTTGTGAAAGTACTTGTCATTTTAAAAATATTTGTTACACAATTTATTGGTTGACATTAATTATTTCTATATGAAATGACCAAAAGGTATCTAACAAAGCTTAAAAGTTTTCATGATAAAAGTACGTGTGTACTTCAATTTGATTTAATGGAGCACCGAGGCAGTGTGGTTAAAGTACTTGGTCACCCACCATCCAAATACTGATTTACAGGTTCAATTCTGAATAGTGTAAAAATGTTTAAAGATTCAACCAGGCTCCCTGTACAGAAGAAGTCAGATAAGATAATTTAATGAACAACTATTTAAGATCAGTCCTTGGTTTCTTTTCACTTATGTTCTTTAAGCAAGATAACTATAGATATTACAAATATTCTCTAAACTAGATTTGAAAATTGTCAACGGGACATATGTAACAAAGAAAACAAAATATAACTAAAAAAATAAAAAAGTGTAAGTTTCTTTCTGAACAAAATGGCGACAACATACCATGTTCATTAACTTCATATACATTGTAATAATCAGGCGTACCAGCTAAATGAAATGTTTTCAAAAACCGTTTAACTGCCGAATAAGTAGACATTGATTTAGAAAAACTGAAACTTCGACATGAACGTCTCTTTAAAGCTCCGACACCATCGAATACACATAAATATTCTAGTAAGGGATTGAAAAATAAAATAGCGAAGTTGTAACATAAAATGTCGATAAGAGGATTTTCGTCTGTAATATGGATTATAGTTATCTTATAACAACAATCAATGGAAAGCATCAATTCTTGAAGCAGTCTCAATTTATGATAAAACTTTTAATGACGAACGCACAACTTTGATAGCGTCTTTATCTGAAAATAGATTTTATATGAGATCAAATTAATTTTGATGGAGTTTTGTTCCCTGAGCTGGATGGTTTGGTCGTGGAGCTTTCATCGTTCTTCTGAACGACATCATCAGCACAAACTTCAGATAGAAGTGAAGCGTTCGAATTTCTCCATATGTGGTTCACAGCTTGTACTAACTCCATCAAAATCATCCACCTGAGCTACAAATCTTCTCCACCATTTCAAGATCAAATTAATCATCCGGGAAACGTAAATACAACCAATGTGTGTTGTTGGTGAATTGACTCAATTTTCAAGATAAATGAGAAATTTCGAAATATATGATAATGTTGGGGGAATGCTAATCAACACAAATGCACGGGTGACTTAGCCTAGGTAATGTGGTTTAGTATCAGTTGAAATGGGATAAATGAATTTATACTTGATTACATTACTATATATATATATATAACTTTCCCCACTTACTATTGTCAATTTCTCTTAGATTATTCCAGTATATTCTTTTGAAACATTTTTTTGCTAAACAAACAAATCGCGACATGAAAGCATGACGTAATACACTAGTATGACAAACATTTAGTGTAATCACTATAACTAAATCTAACAACAAATATACTACGATTTGCAGTTGACCGATCACTGAGTAGCGACCAATGTCATATTTTTCTAGTCCTTACTGCTAATCAAATTCTATTGATCAAGTTATGATGCACCCTCCCGTCTAAATGTTTTGAAATTATGTGCACTGTTTTGATAATGTTAATTAGTTGGAGGTGATCGACAGGACACTGAAACTAGGTTCTATATTATTTGGCACCGCCCAACAAAATTGTAGATACACCATTGTAGCAAGTACCGAATGCAATGAAATCTAGATCTAACAACGACAACTTATTCTTACCATCACTACTAGCACGGTCTATAGTTTCTCTCGGAGATCGTGTATCTTGCCAACTATCCTCTTTGCTTTCTCCACTGCTTGACCAATCAGCTGAAATAGCTCGACCTGAAAGAAATCAGAAGTCGAAATTATCAGTTGAACTGAATTCAATCAATGATGTAAAAACACATTGAAAGATTGACCGAAGTCAACCTATCATACGATAAATTCATATCATCAAGGTAATTCAAAGCACCACAAGCTATCATCTATGGCTAATTAATATAGCTTATTAACCATCTAAAATTTCAAGCCAACTGAACCATAGTCTCGTAAAAATACCGAAAAAGAATCAATCACAATTTGATGATAATTATTGTCTTCAATTGTGTTAAAAATTGCTGATACAAATTACGAACGAATATCAATTTTCAACGCAATTTCGGTATAAGGTATAGATATAAACAAATACAGAATACAGAGATTATATTAAATTTGTGAAGTTGTTTATATTTTGTCGTTATTCTCCTCGCCTAAAAAATAAAAATAAAATTTTAACAGAACCATATATTATATTAGAATATGCCTTACTGGTCTACCGATGCCGATATATAATAGCATACGACACTCGATATTATTACCTAACCCTAGGCCACAGACAAAATGTATCAGATTGAATTATACTACCCGATGTTTTGAATCCAGATAAATGCAACAAAGTATAGGTTATAAATTGTATGACCGAATATCAAATAACTAAACTATCAAACTAAAACCTTAAGACTAAAGTAAGAGTCAAATTGAATGAATGTAATACTAAGAAATAGAAAAGCCTTTTAGTTCCTCAGAATGACTTGTTTAAATAGTTAGTTAGAAAAGAGTAAAACAACTCACCTCGTGGACGTTTAGTTACTCCAATCACATGTTCAATAGGAATATTCATCCGTGGGAGGCTAACACAGAATGAAGGTAACATGATATCGCGTAAAGGACCGAAATCACATTCATCATCCACTTTCTCTATACATCCTGCATGACTCTGAATTATAGAAAATTTATACAACATTGGCGATAGTTATACTATTTTTGGAATATGTACCAAGAAAACTAATCTTAATGATTGCTGTATATTACTAAAGAAGTGACTAGTAAAGATTAATATTAGAATCCATTTACAAACCATTTAACTTACTCTCATAATATGTAACATCAGTAGTTTAAAAAATTGTGATCTATCAATAAAATTACGTGCTACACAAATTGTAATACTTCTCAAGCAACCCTACGATTTCAGCCATTTATTACAACCTTGTAAGGTCACACTAGTTGGAATGACGATTTGAAAAAACGTAATATATACATAAGGTGACAAGACCGTGTATTTTATGAGAAATCAGAGTACAGTGAAAGTAAGATCTCCTTTTAGACGTCATATTGAATTGCACTAGTAATAGACTGGTTCCCGTTTCCAATGTTCCGAATTTCAGGTGGAATGATTAAATATAATGGACTCCGAAAGCCACATACAATATTACCCTTCACAGTTTATGGTTAGTAAAACAGGCTATTTAAGAAATCGATCTTATGAAAGGAATAAATTTAACACGACTGTGTTTATTTGATATGTAGTAGAAATGACTGTGGATATAATGTAAGTAATTCGAGTTAACAAAAAACAGGAGAAACGATAATACTCCGACAACTACCCGAAATTGATTTTTTTTTCCCATTAGTTTATTTTCCTAGAAATAATTAACCACAATCCGTAATAATTTCATTATACTGAAACTACTTGATGGATAGAGATATAATACAAATATTATTGACGATGAAAACTCATTCTTAATCCTGATCAAGTGGATAATTAGTCATTTTTATCCTTTTACCAATCAATAACACGGAAGTACACAGTATTTAGTCATATTTTATGCTAACTGGATGTGATATCTATCAAAGTAGCACCAGTTCATGACAAAATTATCTCCGAACTAAATCAATATCTAATTGATTAAAGAAATATCTGAACAGCTTAAAGAGTTTAAGCATAAAATTAATGAATAACCACATACATATTGAAACTCATAAGTACAGTTACTTTACCGCTTTTCTAATATCGTATATCATGATATATATCTATGTGCCTACGACAACTGTTACAAGGTAAGCGGTAAAAATATTAATATTCAAGTAGTACAACTCACAGTTCTACCGCACCATTGACAACGATAACCTGTAAGACATTCAGATGACCAGCATGTCTTACGACATATGAAACACTTAGAATTGGTTGGTAAATTTCCCTCCCTCCAGTGATGAGTTTGACGTGGCGAACACTGTTTTTTAGGAATGAAATGAAGTAATGAGCAAAATAATAATTCACTAGAAATTAGACATTTTGAATAGAAAAAGTGACAACGGAAAGAGATATAGCATAGACTACACACAGAATTCAAGTACAAGAGAACAAATATTTAAATGAAGACATCATTTGATTTGTTTAAAACACCGTCAGCATGCAATGAAATAGCTAGTACAAAAAGCATTATCAAAAGTAAACGTTTGAAATGATATTATAGTTCAGCCATGTTAACCGGCGTCCTTTGTCTATCTATCACCCATACATTATCTTTAAAATGTTAATAACCGTATAATCGATTAAAAAATCTGTCTCAGTGTAGATGCGTATGTAGGTAAGAAAAGGATTTCTAGTATCAATATGGTGATAGGGTAATTTTGTTCTCATAATATATATATATGCACAAGTTATATAGAATGTCAACATTTGATAAACTAAAACCTATATTCATAAAGTCATCTTTAATCCGTTTTAGTAGGTTATACAAATAGTTAGCAAGAGAAAATAAATCTTTTAAAATAATTTCTCACAAGTAATGAAATAAATTAATAAAACGAAATACTAGCGTAAATCAATGTGTGACAATAATTCATTACTCTAGACCACCAGAATTAAAAATACTAAAACGTATCATGTATCTAAAAAGATCAATCAAAATGTTTTAAATGCATCTGATAAACTAATAAATTTTGTGGATATAACCAATTTTGTTGATTATATTATATGTTATGTAAGACAATTGTTAAAAAAAAATAATGCAATCACTGTTTGAAGTGATGTTAAGCAAAAGTATAGCCGAGATTTAACGTCAGTATTAATTGAATCTGATATAAAAGTGGACATAACAAATTTCGGAGGATAAATAATATTCTTTAAAATTAGTACAGTATAGCAACCGTCTAACTGTACTGAAGAACTACAATCTGCTACGTTGTTTGAAGAATAACTAAGGATACATGTATCTAATGATTTATGTGAATCTACTTCCAAGGTCTTTTGATAAGGATTAATGACCTTAATGATATGTGGGTTATAGTAAATCCCTATGATGAATATATGCTCTAATAGGTTATTTAAACATGAGGAGTGAACGTAAAAGAGAATAAAGTTATTTAACTACTCAGTTTATACTTCAACAAAGTGTGGTCAGAATGTGAAATGGAATGGATGCCTTTCAACCAGCTTACTTGATAAATAATTTCGTACTTGTTGACAAATGGAGGTTACAAGTTAACTGGTCAGTTGCGGATGACATATGTTTAGATGGCTGATGGAATTTGAATATTTAATTAGTGTAATAAAATTAAATTTATCAGGACCAATTAATGCTAGTTTCACTAATTTAATTATAATTTTTGCATTTTTGTTTAACAAGTTTGTGTGATCTTTGATATTATGATGGTAATAGTTGTCGAAATAACGTAACAAAAGTTCAGGAAATTCCTTCAGGAATATATGCTGAAAAAAAAGACTCCATCGAAATCTTTGAATGAGAAAGATAACACATTGACCAAAGAATTGAATAAACTGTTCAAAATAGTATGGTATATTGTGTTGCCTTTGTCAGCTAGTATGTATAGTCGTGAGCATATGGAGATTTTGCAGTATGTACTTGGTTCCTACTACAAGCTGGTATCAGACGAAGAAACTCTGGAAATCACATATCTCAAAGTGATTGTTTTGTCCTACTTCGGGACTCCTCTGCAGTGCATACATAAGGCTTCACCAAACATCGGACAAAGGACCTTCAAGTTTCATGACGACCACAATAACTTAACACCACTGAGTTTGCATACAGTAGTTCTAAGGTTTCCAACATTATCCAATTTATGATATTTGAAAAATTCCTATATTGTAATTTGGAACAACATATATAAGCGAACAACGAGAATCTAGTCGAAAACAATATTTTTCGCTTATATACGCTGTTCTAAATTTATGATATACTGGAGACGTCGTCAGCAATATCTGTCTCACTATCGATATAGCTGTCTGTCAGGCATAGTCAACGTAGTGCAATTCTGCACAAATGTGCGTTAACCAAAGTCACTATAACAAATTGTCACGAAGCGATGAAATTTTTTAAAAAAAAACAGATAGGAGGAGAGTTAAAATAACGTAGTAATACTGATGTGGAGAATGGCTAATCATTGGGAACATGGTTCTAAAAAGTGGAAAGAGAAGCTATGAATGAAGGAATACAGGAAATTTTGATCTATAGGAAGATAAAGAGTGTATGCATCTACTCCATTGTGACTGATTGTGAAGCATGTCACACAACGTCTCTAACCACTGATCAAGGTTACCCAAGCCAGGCAGTTTCCATCTATCAACATGACTCAGACCAACTGTCAATAACCTCACGGACTGATACTACATCGTAGTTTGACCGGCCCTAGCTTTCTCCCAACCCATTAGCACACCAGAAATCATTAGTCGTCGAAGTGGACACTAGTTAGGAATACACAATCTGTGTCTTAACCACGTCAGTGGGCAAAGGTTTACAGCCTCATCAACCAGTTTGCTATATTCACCTCCGGAATTCTTCTTAATGCTGGTCACAGACAAGTATATTATTATTATCAACATTTAATTAGACGTTTTTTGAACTATTCAGTAACTTCAGGAATTAGAAGTTAAACTAAAAATGTCCTAGAAAGGTATAAGATTCCATGACGTTACATGCAACAATGCTCTGGTAGTTGGTAGATACTAACCAGTAGAAAAAAATTAGGTACATATAATTATACAAACTGCTTTTAGTGATACAGTACAAAATATAGTATCCTATAACACTGAATAAGGTTATCACAGTATATGTAAGTATACGTGTGATAAAAAATACAGCATATATATATACGTTATTTATTTGAATACAGTTGTGTAAGTGTAGGTAACGGCAATAAGTCCTGTCAGTCTTAAGAATCAAGCTAAGTTTAAGTAACAGCATGGAAGTATTAACAAGAAATGAAAACAAAACTGATAAAGTGATCAATAAAAAGTTGTAATTGGTCATAATTTGTTGCTTTTTTATTAAGGTATAAAAAGTTTGGGATTTTTTAAAAAATAATATGGGACAAGATTGTAAATATTTTAAACGCAACTGTTTTAATGTGATTCAAATCACATAACTATTTTCAAAATTCAGTTTGCACAAAAAATATCAGTAGACTATATTGAATCTAAATCAGATGGTGGTTGGGGGTAGTCGACAGGAAACCCTGGACCCGGGTTTCGTGCTACTTGGTACTCATCAGCAAGGTGTACCTGTAATCTTGAGGGAACTGGTGCTCCCTGACGGATTCGATCCCGTGTCACTCAGCTACACAGTGAGAGACATTACCACTGAGCTATCCGGGCCGTGACCGACCTCCTGTAGGACTGAGATGTAATCACAATTGGACCTGGCACACACGACATTGATCACCACCCAGTGATCAATCGATTGTGATTAACCTAAATCATTTGTCAAGCACAGAGATACTTCAATCAGCCTTGATCCACACTGAATTTGTGAGAGCTGATAATAATACACAGCTTTGCAAACTGAAGTAGATAGAACAGGGTTCAAACCTTCAGCCTAACGGTTGAAAACAGAGTAGTTTATTCATTAGGCCACTGCTCCATAAGATAGAACGTATACTCTTCAGTAATTATCAAGTTTCCTTATTTATCAAATAGATACTACCTCAATTATAAAACTGGAATAAAATGCCTACAAAAAATAATTTGAATTTATTTCGAGTAAAATAATGATTTTGAAAACACGCAATCCAGAATGTAATAACCATTTACAATATGAAAAAATTTATTAACATCTCAATCAGTCAGTCAGCTACAACGTAGGACCAGGCATATATGTACATAGGTCTAAGTTGCCATACCTCATTAGCACAAGAAGATGAACACCGGATTCATAGAAGTAGTGGTGGTAATATATAAAAGGATTGCATATAAGGACATAGTACAGGAAGAAAGAACTAGTTCGTAGAAAGAAAGATATGAAGTGATTTTAATCTTATAGTTTATAACATCGCAATAAGATGATGTTATAAAACACAACCAAATTCCCTTAAAAAATTTCATGAAAGTTAGGTAATATGAAAATACAACCATCGTCCTAATTTTACTAAATCCAACTAACCATCACTCCCATCTTTCGCCTTACTCGTACAACTCCACACACGACAAGAAATATGTTTTAAAAATAATTAACACTATTTTGTGTAATATTTAAAAATAATATGAAATACACTATGCGGACATCATTATTGGTAACCCAACGAACATGCAGCACTGTATATATAAAGTAAAGAGAACTCAAAACTGACATAAGGACATTACAACATTTAGTTTTCAAGACATGATATACATACAACAGTAAACGGAATGCATGCTGAAGATAATCTACTAGCCCACACACCCATACCCACACCCACACTAGAATAACGCACCACAGGTTTTCCTGGTGAACATGTTGCACCTTGTTTACAGTCATTGATAGAATAATCTTGACAATCCACATGACAATAATATTCACAAACTAAGTTATACGAGTAAAAGATAAGTGAAAAGTATTACTTTAAAATATTGATTAAACTTATATTCATTGTATTTTCTAGTTATAACACATCTTTTTTAAAACATAAATATTGGTTTTATCATGGAGTAGATAAGAAATGATTCTTTAAGAATGGGATGGCAGAAAAACCAAACTATTGTAGAATGATTCAGTAACATTTTGAGAAAATTTCACTTGCAAAAACTCATAAGTAGAAGCTAACTTATTTGGTTTACAGTTAAACAATTTACATTCAAGGAAAACAGTTGTTTTATCCACTTTTCATCACTGTTCCCTACAGAACTCCGCCTGAAGTCCCACCTAGGGTTACTGGCGGTCACATGTAAAGGGAGAATGGACATGGAGTTACCAACCACACACCCTAAAAAAGAAGTGCTAAAAAAGCCCCGGTCAGAAAACATTATATTTAATTAACTATATCTATCGTTTTACAAACCATTTAGAATAAAACAATCTTTTTTGCAAAACAATAACTAGCCGCTTCACAACAATTTATAAATTAGAGATAATTAGAAAAGGAACTTGATATTAACGGAAACACTACATCTAGCTGTCTCCTAAAATATTCTATTTTGATAGAATATAAACTATTTGGTTAAAAGATTTGTGGAAATTACTTTAGCTGTGAGATGGAACTTCGTCATGGATTGATAACAACAAGGAAACCACTGAAAAATGAAGGGTATTTGACCGTTGTTCCGTACCGATAACGGACTTTTAAGTAGTTCACACCTGCGACTGTATGTGGGATCGAATTAAGGACTTCAAAGGTTGAGAAAACGAGCAAAAACATATATGTATGTATGTGTGTATGCATGTATATAAAGTCGGGCAGTCACAGAAATTGTCCTCAAGTTATATGACCAAATTAACCAGATAGAAAGATGACCATAAAAAACATCAATTCACCCGATCTAGTAATTTATTACTTTCAGTGTTGTAAGCGGTAAACTATCCTATTCAAGTCAAGTCCCATGGTATGGCTGAGGGTGAGAAGAGTTCGCTCTTCCTCCAGAAATGCTCTCACATGGCCAAGCGTATACAGCTACTCCCAAGGAATTCCTACTCGCTGCTTCTCGCGACGAGGGTGTTGTTTACGAAATTGAGAGGAAGAAAAGCGAACGTCCAGCGCTTTAACCGGGTTGGTGGGTTTAAAAACCCTGATCCCGGACCAATGGTACACATGAGATCCAGGATCCTGAGGGAAAAAATGGAGTATGAGCCTATTGTTGGTCACCGGCTACTGTGGAACTGCATCTCCCAACGTTGCTCCACTGCCTTGTGGATTAGACCTTTAGGTCAAAGGCTTGGGGTGTGGCCTCCTAAGAAGACCACCTGCGTCAGTTCGAGCGCCCAGAAAGTATCCCGGTCCTTACACGAATCGAATGACGAAGTGTGGCACATATATATTTGGTGCCTTTTTGTACTAATGTTTGTGTGTTTAAATAAATAAATAAATAACATTCATTTAACGGTATATCAGGTTGATTGATGTTTTTAAAATGTCAAAGTTATATGCTTATTGAAACTCTATACCATTTCGTATAATTTTTATATACGTTAAAAACCAGATGCTCACACTGTTGTAAAAATCATATACACACCATGACTAATTACTAATGCTTGTAGGTACATACGTTATCTGCAGATTGTTAAACGTGTAGTACACAAAAACGCAATTTTGCCATTAAGTCCTAAAAAATACACAATGTCTTACCTTCACATCTTACAGAAAGACTATCCTCCAAGCGCTTTCGACAAACATTGCAAAATTTCCGTTTGAAATGACCCACATCAGACCAACAATGAGATACTGGAGACTGTAAATTCAACAAAAATTTAAAGTAGACATCTTTAAAAATATGATACATGTTTTCTATCTTAAAAAATCGCATCATTAGACTAAATAATATAAAAAACAAATCATACTACAATAACATGACTATAAACCATATAGATCATTCTAAATTTCGGACACCTAAAATCGCACCACACATGGAAATCAATTCACCTTATTGTATTGCACCATGGATACATTGACAAAATATGACTAGAAATACAAAAACAGGCTTGTGAATCTACATGATAAAAACAATTTTACAAACATAGATTACATATATATAACGTATACGCTTATATAAAATAATCCAAATGAAACTAAGATAAAACCCGGTACGTGAACCTTTAGTCGAATGCTGAGTCGACTTAAATTACTATTATTTGCAGGCTTTTTATTAAATCGTCCTTATGAGGATTTGATGGCATGTCGAGCCAACGATTTACAGATAAGCAAAATATTTGACTCAGCACTTAACGAACATAAAACATGAAATTACATTATAATTTCCATGAAACTAAGTAAAATGACTATACCTTTATATGAAGAGGTGCAACAGATGTACATGGAGAACTCACGACGGTTTGACAACGTTCATGTGCAAGTAAGTTGCAAACTAAAACGCAATGTATAAATAAAGAGATATGTTTATATGAATGAAAAAGGCCATTATGAAATACTACACATTTTAATGGAGTGGATTTAAAACCATATTTAGGTCACCACTGATCATATCGAATAGACGTCCGTTAAACACGATCCGTGGTGACAGTGTCCCAAAACTTTAACAATAATATGAACGTATTGTGACTAAAGAGATTATTAATATCAATAAATAGAAAGTATAAGACGTCAATTCTACGCAGCTAATGAGGCACAAACTACGTCTATGAAATTAGAATATTTTTTCCTTGCTATTGAATAATAATAAACATTGTGAGATTAGTTGGAATTACTTCATTTCATGTGCCAAACGGCTGATGTTGCCTTAATACGGTGGTAGATTTTGAATATCATGATGGTTCAATAGAACTATGCTGTAAGTAGATGGTTGTGGAGACTATTGAACTTCATTGAAATCACAAACCGATAAAAGTTGGAAAACATTGAAAACTTGGAATACCCGGTATTTTCATGTTTTCAATGGTTGTCTAACTTTTATCTATTTGTGGTTTAAAAAACTATATTAACTAAAACACTTGTCTTTTAGGTAGTATCATGCTAGGCATGTCAGTTGGAGTGGTAAGACCAAAAGTATCAACTTAACATCCGAAGATGAAGTCGTACTGACGACTACTAGAGTGTGACAGCAGTAAAATATCTCCCCTAGCAACTAGTTTCTTTGGAGATTCAATCTTCTTATAACAAAAATTGGGTTTAGAAAAGATCGGTCCTAAAAAATGGACACTACGTAACCTCATGGGTTGCCGTTGGTAAAGCGTTAAAGTACGGAGCCAACACACTAAAAAGTACTCACGATATGGTGTAACCTCCAGCAATCTGTCACCTCTTTGGTGGTGCGGTCATGATTCGAGCCACTACTAATCCAGCCCCCCCTCTTAGATTCATCAAGAAGAGATAGAAATTCCCTCTTAAATCTCAAACAGTATCCGAGACCACCTCATTCATAATCAAGACCCTGCTTCACTAATATTTCTTCTATTCCCATCATCAACCTTAATATATCTCCAATTTCTCCCTCCCCCCCCCAGTTGATCCAGTGTTAATGATTTAAGTTCACAAAATACAATCTCAGATTTTCTGAAACCGTGCTTCACATCACATGCTTGGGCTTTTATTGCTCTAAACCCTAAGTCGAATAGGGTAACAACCCTCACTAGACAAGTCTTTAGAATCTCATTCCATTTATGCGCATTGTCTCCAAAACGCGCATATAGAATCCTAACATGATTATCAACTTAAGCCTACTTAGTCAGTCTGGAGATTTGACAGAAACTTATAGTGGTCTTACGGTTATAGGAACACCGCTAAGTTTAAAAGTAGAACAGGCACCCTTTGCTTAGATTTCTATCAACAATCGCTTATTTGACATCTGTCCAAATGCCATAGCAAGCATTCAGAAAAAGAGGGAATCACACCATTGTCTCTTTGTAGTTTCCGCCTATGCTTCCACTGACTGTGACCCGGATAGAATAAAAGACTAGTTTTACAGCAAGATCTCTGACCACCTTCAGTAATCCGAATATGCAGATGTGGTAATTGTGGGAGTTGGCTATACCACTCGTCATTAGACTAAGTTAAATTGAGAAAAAACTGGATGAGTCTTTTGATATCCCAGACCAACGAACAGACAACAGTGACTGTCTCCTGAAATTATGCTTAAACAGTCGCTTATTTCTAGCAAGTTCAAACTTTAAGCATAGGAAGAAACACTATCTAGTCTACCTCCCCACAGCATCAACACAATGATAAACATAAATAAAGCATCTTGCCACTAATCATCACTGTAGAGGATCGATAAAGGCTGAAGCTCTTGGAGTAGATTTTTGAACTCCTTGACTTAGTAAACGACTCACATTATATGAAGCAGTAATATGTTTGTATTTGCGTTGTAAAAAAACTTTCAACCCAGTTCGCGAAAATGATGTTATCAGTTAACTTTGAAAAGAAGTCGACCAAGTCAAAATGTACCATCACTACATTGAGTCAATGACAGGTGGTCTGAGTCATGTTGATAGATGGAAACTGCCTGGCTTGGGTAACCTTGATCAGTGGTTAGAGACGTTGTGTGACATGCTTCACAATCAGTCACAATGGAGTAGATGCATACACTCTTTATCTTCCTATAGATCAAACTTTCCTGTATTCCTTCATTCATAGCTTCTCTTTCCACTTTTTAGAACCATGTTCCCAATGATTAGCCATTCTCCACATCAGTATTACTACGTTATTTTAACTCTCCTCCTATCTGTTTTTTTTTAAAAAATTTCATCGCTTCGTGACAATTTGTTATAGTGACTTTGGTTAACGCACATTTGTGCAGAATTGCACTACGTTGATTGACGAACTAATTGTCTTAAATCTTTAAAGCATGAATAGTAGTTCGCTTACATTATGTTTAATAATTATAGTTTTGCTAGAACATGTAAGGTAATTCAGATTGTCAACAAATACTTTTCAAAATCATATAACCTCCATTTATGTAAAATAACTGAAAGAATTCCTAATGCAATCAACCAAAAGGACATATCCACTCAATTACAAACAGTTAACACTTTTTAGTTGCATCTGGCTTTAGGCTCCCAACTTCCTAATTAGCTTTTGCCTCAGTATAGCTTACTACAAATGTAGAACGTCGGACGTTCATTGATTTTGTACAGCATCTTAATCTCATAGACCAAGTTACTTACTTTCACATTGAAATCCACTACCTAAAAGACCCCATATAACCTCGCCACAATGGTGACAGTATGCTGGTTTGTGTAATGTTCGTCTGATAAATGAGTGTCCTTGTATAGTGCTTGTTGGTGAACATGACGTTTGGAGTGATGAGATAATACCGGAGTTGGTAGTGAATGAGCTTGGATTGGCTTTTGTTGATTCGCATTGTCCACCAAAATCTTTTCCCTTGTCTTTTTGTTCTTCATGTTTACTCACAGACTGTGTTTGATCGTTTAAAGTTGATTCACTTTCAATCGAAGTACTAGGATTGATTTTTAAGGCTTCTTGAAGACTGACAATTTTCGAAGATTCGCACTCCATTGATACTATATGAAAGTTTTCGTAACCCTCAAAAGATTATTATGAGTAGTGGCCATGATCCAGTGTGAACTTAAGTTCTCGTGAAATTAGAACTACATATTACCAATAGTATCCTTAATATCAAATATGCCACTATTAGGATGAATGCTGTTGAAGGTCGTTGTGTAGTGCGGCCAAACACTTGATTCTAGTTTTAAAACCCTGATAGGATGGAAATCAGCCCACATCATTTGTTATAGAACACCTTTTAAACTCCACTTAAGAATAGTAGGTATGTTATCCATACTGTAATATATCTTGATGACATGCAATAAATTTTTGTCAGTCGAAAAATATTACTACATGGTACATTTGCAAGACAAAATCAAAAGTGGTATGTTTCATTGATACCCTGAACCTGGTTTAATCTTAATGACTTAAGAAAATTAGTTTATTTTCAAGCCAAAGGTGAAGCTTTCATGTCCTAATGGGTAGTGTCGTGTTATTCATTGAACTCAAAGCTATCTGGCTGAAAAAATAAACCTAGTGGAGTGTCCCAGGGTACAGTGTCGGGGCCAGTGTTATTATTCTTGTATGTTAATGACCTTCCTCGTGTACTATCATCATCGGTCTTGCTATATGCTGACGATGTCAAGATAAGAAGAGCGATAAGAAGTAAGGGTGATAGCTCGGAACTCCAAAATGACCTGGGGAAATTGTCTGAATGGTCTCAAACCTGGCAGTTGCCGATTAATAATTCCAGGTGTGTTGTGATGCATATAAGTCATCAAAGTACAGATAGATACACGATGAATAACACTGAGCTACCTGTTGTCCAGACACACAATAACTTAAGTCATCGTTAGCCAAGACTTAAAGACTATTGCAAACTGCTGTGTCATAGCCGCCAAAGGTTTTCGAACTTTATGGTCAATACGTAGGGCCTTTAGTCACGTTGGTGTTAAACGTCTTTGACTTTGTATACAGTGTTCGTGCGTCCTAAACTTGAGTACTGCATACAAGCGGCTAGCCCCTGCTTAGAAAAAGACAGTGAGCTTTTGGAAAAGGTTCAGAGAACAGCAATTAAGTTGATTCCCGGAATAGCGAAGCTTCCGTATGATGTTCGACTGACCAATCTTAATATATTCCCGTTGTCATATCGCAAAACTAAAGGCGACTTGATTACAGGTTTCAAATTGCTTAGTGATAAATTTACACCTGATATGCCTTCGTTTTTCTTGTCTTCAAAAACAGTGGATTTAAGAGGATATTTCAAAAAAGTTCACCAGTCCAGAACAAATTACTTGTCAGCTGACTATCGACTTTCCCATCGAATCATCAACGAGTGGAAGTCAGTACCTCAGCACGTGGTTGACACTCTATCTGTCGACTTTCAAAAGAAAGTCGGATCAACCGAGAGGCCATTAGTGCCAGAACTAACACAGGCCATCAAGCCTCCTGTCCTTTCCAAAATGAAACCGATATAGTTGTAGCTAAGTATGAGAATTTTTGGCGTAATTTGTTCTATAAACATGATAATTTGATCATAAAACTTTTATTGTTCCTCGCCGCAACATCAGCGTACATTTCAACAAGAAGCGAATCGTTAGGGTTTCTCATTGGTTTATTAATAGCTTATTCTGTGGGCCTGATCTTAATAGTCATGTAATCGTTTTGACATTTTCGTTTCGACTGCCTTCTCCCCTAATCCGAATGTTAACCTTGCTAATGCTCAACCTTTCACTTACTAGCTGATAAACTGGGTCAATTTGGACATGCCTATTGGTTCATAAATGTAGTAACAATCTTCAAAAGCTCCTTGGATTTCTCTGTTTTTTCCTCCAGTATATCTATATATTCCCAATTGTAGTGATATCCATTGTTATCCACATGCAATGGCAAAAGAAAAGCTACTTCATGGCATCAAGCTGCCGGTCGGTATTTTCGTAACAAACGAGTAAGCACTTCGTTCTATATAGTGTTTCTCTTATATGCTTGGTTGTATCCCAACGAAGATTGAAGGGATGCCTACTTTAAAAACTTATACATGGACTATTAGTTTATCTGTAGCGAAAAAGAAAACGCTGAAAATCCCTCCGCAGCATTTCGTTTGACAGTACTGTCATTTACTTGTTCTTCCCGTCATGCATTTTAACCCTTATTCGGATCTCTTTTAACCACACTTTGTGTTCTTCAGTCTTCGTCATCCGAACTTTTATTGTGTGACTTTGACTAAAGACGTACCTTTTATTACCTAAGTTTTCTGTTGCATATTGCCGGGCTATTGACAATGAGGTTGTGTTTGACCAAGCCCAGGGTCGCGGTGTGGTTTAGCGTATGACTGTTAACCTTTGACTATCTGCTTGGAAAGATTGCTGGAATCGCTGAAGATAGATATCTGATCTCATCTTGTTGCGAATAGGTCCATCGATTCTCACATACTGAACACTTTTGTATTAACTATTTCTTTCGTGGTGTAGCACGCTCATTTGTGTCATAGAAACCCTATGACTGTATAGCACAGGCTGTACCGTTTGGGGCATTTTGTATTTCATTTCTTTTGACCTCTGACCTGTTTCTAGCATATATATATAGTTATTATTGTAATCAAGTTATTGTTGGGGACGATAGATCCCCAAACTCATATTTTAAATTTTATCTTATCGATCAAATGTTAGATATTTTTATTGGGGTCAATTGATGAACTATCGATTAAATGCGCAAATAGGTCAATTAATGAACTCATTGATTAATGTTTAAAAATTTTCTATCGATTGTAAATAATTGTATAAATACGCTTGACTTGTATGCTTGATCTGATCTGCCTGCCTGACTTGTTATCTGCTGTTGCTTGTAGAATATACTTTCTACGCCTTACCAAGACTTCTTGATCGAGTTAGCAGAGTTGGGGACAACGGACCAGAATAGACTATCGAGATTCTGAATCCTTGATTCGATCGATATGTCACTGTCTTATAATCGGCACTCACTTTGAGCCATAACAGTTATTTACACTCATTTATGTCAATTGTTTCACACTATCTCCATGTAAATATTCTATCACAATTTTGGTTTGTAAGCAGCTGACGAGAAACCTCGAAATAATATGAATTCATACTATTCTGCATCAATGTTTGTTCTTGCATTTTGTATTGTTGATATAATTTGTTCTATTTCTTAAAATTGCACCATTTAAATTGAACACAGGTTTTGCGTTTTGATACAATTTAGTACGAGTAACTCAAAAACGCTTTGCACGCTATACAGGAGAACTTAGTATTGTCTGATCGGATAAAATTAGGTTCTTTAGTTCTGCGTTTAAATCGAATATTGGCATTTCAGTTGTTACATAAGCATTATTATTGTACAGTTACTAATTAGGTAGATCATTATGTATATATTATTTTTACTATAAGCTAACAATCAACGCCTTTACCACTGTTATACAACTTACTATTCTTCGTTTATTTCCAACTTGTTGTTCACAGTTTTTTCTACGTTCAGCGACTTTTCGACTTGGTCGTTCTTTTTTGTTTTATGATGTGGTGCAACCTCTTTTGCTTGTTTCCAAACTATTTCTGTCTGAAATACAATAAAAATCTTAGACTCTTAATCACTGATCTTGTGCACTTCTTCGTTCAGGATTAGTTGGTATCAGTTTTGGCTTGTTAATAAACCTTTATCAAGTTTAGATGCGACCAACGGCTGCCATTTTGCACTATCGGAGCCTTTTTATTTTAGACAAGGAGACGCAGCAAACGCCACAGACTACTCACAAGTTGAGGTTTGTAACTAATTTTGGTATATTATTCAATAAAGAACCGCTATTTTAGGAAAATCTTTGCTTTGTGAACTTCGATTATTCGTATATCTCATTCGGGTGGTTTGAACGTTTTGGTAGACTTAACACTTTGTTTCCTCGTCCTGTCTTGCATTGTTATCTTTACCCAGTTGTCTTGTAACCACGTGTAATATTCTTCTGCCTTTGTCTAGGCCTTCATTGTTTGAATTTGGGTGAGGGTTACTTTTATTAACTAATTTTACTTTTGCATGATGCCGGACTACTGACTATAAAGTCTTGTTTAACTAAACTCATGTTGTAGCGTGGTCCGCTAAGTGACTTTTGACTTTTGACCGCCTACTGCAAAGATTTCCTCGAATGCTGGTGGATAAACGTTTGGTCCAATCTTGTTGTGAATACTCTTATTAGTTACCAGGGCCCAAACACTTATTTATTAGCCATTCCTATGTCCTTGTTTCGTCCCATTGAAACCTTTGACAGTATAGCATAGGCTGTACTGTTTGATGTATTTTGTACTTTTGATATATTTTATTCTCTTTCTCAGACTAGAACCGATTAAATTAAGTACGGAGTTTATGTTTTGCTATAATTTGATATGTGAGACTCAAAAGGGACATAGCTCAGTATAATCGGATGAAATTTGGTTTATTAACCCTGCGTTCGGGTCAGACACTAGGACTTCCGTTAGTGAACTGTACAATGATATTTAGTACCGAGCAACAATCGTCTTACTAGTGGTCTTGTTTAAGTATCAGTAATAATGGACCATTGAATATAGATAGGCTGTTGATGAGACTCTACGTTCCAAGTACTTACCATTTAAATTGTGGGATGACCTTCTGTGGGAAAGCTAGGAGGCTAATCTTTTATAATAGATGGAGTTATGCACGTTCAATTTAGCAGCACGTAATAATACGAACATAACACGAACTGTTACGGATAATAAATGCTACCAGGATTTGGGAAGTAGCACTAGGCTTTATTTTCAGATAAAAATATGCCGCGATGAATTTGAGCTGCGTATAGACTATTGAAATAAAGGATTGCATATGCAAAAACGACATTTTACGATGCTTTCAAGTCCCAGGAAACTGATAAAATGATCACCTCCATACTGTTTCGTATATAAACCTTATAGCCTCTTGTCTTCTAGATCTTGAGTCAGTGACACATTGCCAGTTTCAAATAATCAAATTCAATAATCGGAGCAAACATTTCA